GAGCCACTACCCTGCAGACTCGACCGAACTCCATAGTCTCTTGACTATCTTGTTACTCGGATCTGCCAGAACTAGGGAGGCAACCTCACCCACGCCCACCCCGTATCCTGCTCCAGTCGACACCTGAGCACAGTCACAGACACACCACTACGCGGAGAAGAATTATTGTATGTTCGCTCAAGAAGCTTGTAGGAGAAGACGGAGAATTCACCAGGCACTAAAGTGGGAGTACTGTGAAATCGACATGAGATCCAAGCAACCACTGCACCGTGTGATCTTTGCCAGAGGCGAATCTCTCCGCTTAGTTGCAGCAGCGCTCATGGGCCCCTAACGTCGAACGTGCAATGCGCGGGCATCAACGACACGCGAGAGTAAAACGTGCACTTCACGTCATTCACGGCACAATCTTACAAGTCCACGTTAGGGTAGAAGACAAGAACGAGGTACTCTCCCTGCGACAGGACATACAGAGCGATGGGTTGAGGGTGAGTAGAGGGAAAGATCTACTATTATACAGAGTGGACAGTGCGCTGGAGTCTTTGTTGTATGCTAAGTCATGCCCCGCCGTCAGCGTCCGGCTATAAAGGCTATAGCTATCTAGCTGCTAGCTCTGTGCAGTACACTGCCCATACGCGAGTAACTGTGTGAGCGACCGCTCCTGGAGTCTCTCCCTCCAGCACTTCTGCAGTCGCCGGCTCTCCAACCTGCGCACGCTCTTCCTCCACTCGAGCATCACCCGATGCCGCAACGCAACGGCACATCGCTGAGACTACAAGCCCGGCCCACCTTCCGTTTCCCGTTTCAAAACACGCATGCGTATAATTATGAGTCGTGTAAAAATAATGGTGTTAGCATGAAAAAGAGAGGAGTTATGTCTCCACTCCAGACAGGTGGTCGTGGTCCGTTCCAGAGGAATAGAACTCAGCCGGATGTTCCACATCTCTCTCTCCCTCACCGGCCGGGATTCTGGTGTCACTGGACAGCTCCATTGACAGATCCATACTCAGCATGTCTGGGGGGACCTGACGAACAATTCTAGAAATCTTCGAATTCACCAAGACTTTACTCAGTAATCTTAGAGTTACTAAATCTTGAGCTTGCAGTAATCTTGGAGATTACTGACTAAACCGTGCATGTCAGTAATCTCAGAGTTTACTGACCTGTTGCATCTGAACACTAGGAGAGTGTGGAAGTAGTCGCAAGTTCTCAACGACAGTCTGACGAATCTGGTCTATGTACTGCAGGAGAGAGAGAGAGAGGGAATTGAGCCACGAATACTTACAGAGAGGATGCATATACCTGTCTGGTGTTCTGGTTGTCAATTTTGACGCTAACATCGGGATGAAGAGTGAAATCGGGGGAGAAATATTCAAAGTACTCTGAAGAACACGGAGACGATAACAAGACAGGAGACAGAGGAGGTGGTGGTAAGTACCGGTGTAGGGGAGTTCGTTGTTGATGTCACTGTCGAGGAGAAGAGCCGTCTCGTAGGTCCAGCACCGCGCGACGTTCCTGACGGTGTACCCTCCTCCCCCGAGGACCAGGGTGGGGATGTTGAACCTCTTCACAAACTTGACACACTCCCTGCATCACGGACGAGGAGAAGAAAAAAACTCTAGTTCACTAATTGTGCAAATACTCGGTTCGTCATTCAAACCACTGAATATTCCGTTTATTGCCTCAAAGATTACGAGTGCCAATATATGACCGAGTATGCCAAAACCAGGCGCCTCAAACCTACATACCCGTGTCCCTTGATGCTGAGGTTGAAGCAGCCGAGTCTGTCGCAGCCCAGAGAGTCAGCTCCACACTTTGAGAAGAGAGATATACACCGCCATTACACCTTCAGTTAGCGCACATGCAACTACATTCAGACTGCAGTACAGCTACTAGGGGGTAACGGGTAAATCTTGAAAACAGGAGTAGTTTCGTCTCCAATGAAGCCCTTTTAACATCCGAATATTACATTAATATATTATGCTCCACTAGCCTTGAAACAGAAGGCATTTCAGTCGCATAAGACCTATATCTCATAGTTACATGGTGAATCTTACGGCCTAAAACATGTACATAATTATTATTATTATGCGTGCCTGTAGGACGATGCACGTGGGTCTATAGTGCTCCACAACGGCCTGTATGATTGGTTTGAACAGACTGTCATATGTCAGGTCGTCGATCCCGTCCTTCAGGGGGACGTTGACTGAATAGTGCTTCCCTTTCTCGGTGCCTACCTCATACATGTCGCCTGGAGAATGAGACAGGTGGCAGGGAAAGAATATTTGACGAGAAAAGAGGGGATTTTAAACCTGTTCCAGGGAAGAAGAGGTTTCCATATTTGTGAAACGAGACAGTCATGACTCTGTCTGTGAGGTAGAAAGCCTCCTGGACTCCGTCGCCATGGTGAATATCTATGTCGATATACAAGACCCGCGGGTGGTACTTGAGCAGCTCCAGGATCGCTATGACGATGTCGTTTACGTAGCAAAACCCGGACGCCTCAAACTTCTTGGCGTGGTGGAGCCCTCCCGCCCAGTTTATCGCCACGTCGCAACTCTAGGGGAAAGAGGTCAGTGGGTTCGTTGCTATGGTGATGTGACTCACCCCACTGTTGAGTTTGACGGCTCCCTCCAGAGAAGCTCCGGTGTAGATGGAGCAGAAGTCATACAGACCAGGAAATACAGGACTGTGAGGGACAAAGCCAGCCAGCTACATTGATTTTGGAAAACTCTTGAAATTCCCATTCACACAGAAGACATGAACACATATTTCCCTCGGAACCTGTAGACTAATAAGCATTTCCTCTCGGAATCGTGACCGTGCGATCACTATTTCTACGCTCTGCAGTGTTGTAAATTTGTCTCTCCTCACCAGTCGTCTCCCACGTTGAACCTACTGAGGCAGTTTGTGAATCCTGAAATATTCTGTGGTGTGACTCTGTTGAGGGAGAAAGAGAGACAAAATGAAATGAGGATTGGAAGGGCAGAGAGAAACAGTTGAACTGTCCAACACTAGCGGACCGACTGACCTCTGTAAGAAATCAATGTAGTCCTCAGCGTGGAACCTACACATGTCGTGGGACGTAGCCCGGTACGGTCTGTAGACCTGTAACACACACGGAAATATAGTTTAGCTCCGCCCACTGCAGCTGTGACTGCACTGTATATACCTCCATCTTCTTGTAGAGACCATAGTTGAGGACGAGGGAGTGAGTCAACGCCAGACGGTGAGGCTTCATGGGGTGACCCTGACCTAATTGGACGTAATCGCGCAGCATTCGTGGAATATCAACGATAAATCAGTGCTGCCGTACCGTAGTGGAAGTTCCCCACGTCAGGATCGTAGAAATACGCCGTTCTTCGACCAGACGACATCTCTCTTTCTACACCGCTTGAAAATTCTCGAATCTCGCACACCCTACAATACCGGAAGGTCTTGGTTCCGCGCGGAACTTGGACGGAAATTTGGCGCGAAATTGGCGGGAAAGCGAAGTGTTTTGCTATGTACTAGCTATCTCTGATCTTCTTTCTGTATGACTAGTATTAGTAGCCTGCATAATGGGAGACTCGGTGCCGGCGGCGCTGCGACGGCGAGTCGTCCAGAGCTTCAAATTGCAGGGGCTCACCCTCCAGAGTGGCGCCACGTCGGTTCTGGCGGAGGTCCTGGAGCCCTACCGGGACTCCGGGGACCTGGATGAGATAGTGGAGCGTATCGTGGAGGCCGTCCAGCAGCAACCGCTGTCTTCATCACTCATTGGGAGAGAGGTTAGCTTCGCCCCTCCCCACTCTCCCCTCTCTCATCCCTCCCCCTCTCTCAGACAGTTCTAGCTGCAGTGGAGGAGGTGAACGAGGCCTCAGACGCTGACAAAGAGAAGGCACTGGTGGTCATAGACGCATTTGAAATCCCCAAGTTCACCTACAACCCGGACCAGAAAAGGTTCCTCCCAGTTCCCAGGTCGTCTCTCTCACTCCATTCCTCTGCCGGCGATAAAGCTGCCCTATTTCGGAGTCGCTACACTCTCATTCTTCAGCAGACGGCTCGTCACGAACTCTTTGCACCCACAACCTTTGGCCAATCGGCAAGCACCGACGACTCAAACTCCCGGTTTCAACTGCACAAGGTCGAAGGTCTTCTCGGCCAGACTGGCTTCGTGGACAAGGTCATAGTACTCGGGATACTGACTAGGATCAAGGAGGGCAAGGTTCACCTGGAGGACCCCACAGGGTGCGTGGAGCTAGACCTCGCAAACACTGTATTTCACACCGGTCTCTTCGTCGAGAGCAGTCTGGTTCTAGCTGAAGGCGTCTTTGAAGAGAAGGTGTTCCACGTGTCGGCTGTTGGTTTCCCTCCTCCAGAACCTCCGTCTGTCACCAGGAACTATTTCGGGAATGTCAATTTCTTTGGCGGTCCGTCCACCGTGTGTGCCAAGTCCTCTGAGAAGCTCCAGGCAATGCTGGCCGAGAACGAAGACGCCATGTTTGTGTTTCTCTCGGACATCTTCCTCAACGAGCCGAGAGTGATGGAGAGACTCGCCACTCTGTTCTCGGGGTACTCCGAGGCCCCGCCCACTGCCATTGTCCTAATGGGTGACTTTAGCTCCGCCCCCTACGGCCCGCTGACCAATCAGAAGCTGAGGGAGGATTTCAAATCCCTGGCGGAACTGATGATGAGGTTTCCAACTCTCGTGAAAAACTCGCAGTTTCTCTTTGTCCCTGGCCCCCAGGATCCCGGGCCAGGAAACCTCCTCCCGCGACCCCCTATTCCTTCCGTCTTGACCTCGGACCTCACGTCTCGGGTCCCCACGGCCAAGTTCTGTTCCAATCCGGTCCGGATCCAGTTCTGCACGCGGGAGATCGTCGTGTTCCGGGACGACATTCTGGGGAAGATGTGTCGCAACTGTGTCCGATTTCCCACCAAGTCGGCCGACCTTCCGACACATTTCACAAAGACACTGCTCTCGCAAGGACACCTCTGTCCCCTCCCCCTTCACTCCCGCCCCGTTTACTGGGCTTTTGACCACGCCCTTCAGCTCCACCCACTCCCCGATCTGGTCGTCATTGGCGACAAGTGTGACCCGTTCACCGTGACGTCAGGCGAGACGACAGTCGCAAACACTGGTTCATTCCTTCGCAGTGACTTTGAGTTCAAGGTCTACATGCCATCCAGTGGACAAGTGGAGGATAGCAAGATCGCCAACTAGCAACTGACAATGCCAGCTAGCACCAGATTATAATGCACATTGTACAGAGTCCTAAACTAACACCTTAATTTTACCAATTGCTGTTGCTGAACGTGATCGTTGCTGGCGTTTGCTTTTTCAATTGCAGGCATTTCAATAAATAGAGAACATGACGGTCAAGATCTGATTCTATAGAGAGAGTGAGGGCGAGATGAGGTAGGGTTGAGTCCAGTGGGTGTGGTCAACTGGGGGAGGCTGGGAGTCCTAGATGGAGCGAGGTTTGAGGACCTGGAGTATAATTAAAACAGAGAGCACAGTAGTAAGTGAGTTGCACTGTTTGTATCTCGGAACAGAATAGACAGACATAAAAGACAAAGTTGCCTGCACAAGACGCCAACACACACACACACAAGGATTAAGTTGCCTTGCAGATTTCGTCTGAAATGCTAACTTGTGTCTGTGGGGGCAGTGGTAGTGGTAGGCACAGTACAGCAGACAACGACTCAACTCAACAATCCTACGACAGCACTCCATCTCCGCCTGCAGGCAACAGAAAACGTGTTAACTTCATCTGAGTATAATGTTTGTCAGCTGTTTACTTACCAATGACAATGCCTCGTCGTGTTTCTTTTTAAACGCTGCTTCCCACACAGACTTTCTGCTGGAGAACCAAAAGCCTAAAACCCTCTGCACACACAGAATGCCTCGTCAACCAACTAACTCTGTGGCCGAGATGGCTGAGCGCAGACCGTGTCCTCTGGCACCGAGGAGAAAGGCCGCGAGTCGAGATGTGATCTGATGGAGTCGGACTCCGCGTAAGTCTATCCTCCTCCAGTGACCGTGGAGAAGATGAGTCACTGCGTCAGTCACGGGAGCCAACAGCTGTGGAATAGGGAGCAGAGGAGGTGTAGAAAGAGAGGGAGTAAGTGGGTGCCTGCGAACCTGTTTTCTCTGGCTGTTGTCAAGACTGCTAAACCAAAACGAGCAAATCTTTGCCTCGTGGCTTGAGAAATCCTCCCGAATCTAAAATGAGGGATCACATGACTGATCATGTGAGGATCACATGACCAACAGCTCACCCTCTCCAGAACAGCCTGGACCTCAGTCTGAGATTTCCCTGGGTAGAATGGAGCCATTTCCCTGAGAGATACCATAGTCCTCTGTGTCTGCTCCTCTTCGTGGAGTCGAGCAGCCATCACCTGGAACATGTCTCCCAGTGGGCTGCTGTCCTCCAGAGCCAGTGGCTGGACACAGCTAGTGGACGGTCTCCGCACTAGCAACCTCTGATGATGTCACAGGCATCATGTGATCATCACATGATAGGTCATGTGACTCACAGTGGGCAAGAGTGGCGAGTCCTCGTCCTCGCACTGTGACAAGATCTCTAGCAGCTCTGGCTCTTCCATGTATTGTAGACCACACCTACTGCCACGCCCCTTTCCTGACAGGCCACACCCACCAACAGAGCTACCACTCCTGTTGGACTGAGCGCTATAATTCCTCCCTGTAATAATCACACACACGAACAAACGATTTTTGTACTCCTAGATCAAAAAGATGGTGGAGACAGACCTAATGAATTGAAGCTAAGAGCATCATGTAACAGACGAGAGTAAAGTCGAGCTCTGCTAGGGTCAGAGGTCGGATACACACTGACATAGCCTCCCTGGAACAGGAGAAAGACATGACGACAGAGACATTATGTTGTGGCGTTTCTCACTTTGTTTTCATTCTCAAACTCCTCCAGCTCTCTTTCCCTCCTCAGCTGGGTCAGTCGCTCCTTCTGTGGAGTCATGTGACTGTCATGTGATTCTCACATGTAAACCTTGGGCCAACATACCGCTGCAGCTCTCCTGCTTGCTTTCTTTGCTGCAGCATCAGCTTGTTCCTATAGTGCAGTGTCATGCAATGAATTTCATTATGAACCACAACTCGTTTGTCTTACAGCAAGGAAGTCGTATTGTCCGGAGTGGGTGTGGCTGGTGTGAGGTTTAAGTCTCCTCTTGAAGCCTGTCTCTGACACGCCTCTTCTGTCAGCTTGTCTGACAAACTGGAAAAATACTGGTTTTCTCATGATCCACTACACATGTTCCTTATAGCTATTGGCAATTGTCATTTTCATGCTTTTAAACTGGAGATCCACCCATCTATTATTAGGAGTGACATCATTAAAATTCCATCCCTCACCTAATGTTGGCCAGTTTCAGAGCATCTCTAATGACAGCGGTCTTTATGTGGAGGTCAAGGTCAGCATCAGTCCCAAAACTCGGCGACCTATTGACCTCCAGCACCCAAGGCTGGAGAGTGTGGTCGAGAAGAACGTCGAATCCGAGAATCTCGAAAAACTGGCTTTTCCCATTTGGCAAATGGCCGTGGCGGGAGACAGTACAGGAGTGGAGTATATGAGGATAAGCCAGAATTAGAGTTTTCACAATGATATCCTGAAGATAAGAGAGGATATATACGGAGTGGTTCTTCCAGGGAAGTGTAATGACAGCTCACGTGTATCTTGGCCCATAGCTCTACCACATTGTGCCCAGTTTTGTGGAGCCAGACCATGAAAGAGGAGAGGGTCCTCTTGCTCCCCCTGTCGTCCCTCTCGTCAGTGTCAAACGAGGCACTGTGTCTGTTGATGGAGTAGTTCGTGAGGTGCATACACATCTGCTCCTATCAGAAAGACAAACAAGAAGAATGTCACAAATGCCTTGACTGTTAGAAAGTCTGGAAGTGAATGTTTACCAGATTGAAGTCACTCGGTGGAGAGTATCTTTCAGTAGACAAACGGACCTGTGTAAACAGGGACATGGGTTTAATGGGTGCATACACTCTTAGAGTCTAGCCTAAGAGCTATTTGCAGGGTATGAATAATTACCAGTCCGTCTTTGAAGACGAGAATCCTCAGTGGTTTGCAGGAGGTCACCAGTACGTAGATCCTGAGGTCGCACTTGAATCCATCCAGTAGGAACGGCTGGCAACAATCATAAGTGAGAAAAATTAGGTGGAGTAAAGGAAAGCTTGTTTTTAGCAGACTATTGACCACCATGTACAGAATTCATGGTCACAAGAAATCGATTCATTATCTAGAGATATTTCTCATTCAGCAACTGAATATGCTTAAACATTTCCCTAACGACCGCCAGGATGACTATTGCTGCTGCATGCACCCACGGACAGGATTATAAAAGCATAACATCACTGCCAGTAATCCCATTGCCGAGGTCACCTTGTCAAGGTATTCCTGGACTATGGCCTTTTCACTAGGTAGAATAGCATCTGGAGACTGTGTGAGGTAGATCCTGCACAAAGCAAATGAGACGACACGAATGGTGCATGTTTTGGTGGGCATTATTTCCTCACCCATTTCCCATAGACCCATGGTGGGGTTTTACAATGAAGGTTTTCCTCTGCCTGCGTCGACGGAGCCTGGCCGTGTGCTGACTGAGAACTCCGTGGTCTGCAGGCAACACCCACGTCCCAGGGTAGAAATTATACTCTCTGCGGTTCTCCTTCCTCATCCTGGAACAAAAACCACCCAAAATGATTGGTGCTCTAGCTAGCTATATAGCTACCTCTGTATGTTCCGTGCTAATGCGTCTTTTCTGCTGATTTCTCCCATCCCTGGAAAGTGGTTGATTTTCTGTTGATAATGAGAGGAGCAATTCATACATGCACACTAACGGCGCATGTTGCACCCACTTGATAGGATCGCAGCTCGAGGTATCTCTCCAGCGGCACTGGACCGTCTATCCAATACACATTACTGCAGAATGATATCGTCTAAGCTAGCGACACGCGAAGAACGCAGACTAGCGTACCAATCGGTTGCGCCGTCGTCCGAAGAAGCCGCCATCCCGAGCTCTGCCGCTGCATTAGCAACTGTAGAGGACGCAGCATTAGAGATCGGTGCGCATTTTCCTACTAGTCTCACCTACGTAATACCTCGTCCCCGCAACGTTGATACGGATGACGTCGGTTGAGATCTTTCCGAACCGTCGACCTGCGGTCTTGGCACCACGAGCAGCCATCTCCCCGCTGAAGACAAGCGCGGCGCGCTCCGCGTGCAGCGTTGCTATAGTGTTTTGTTCTTCGTGTTATGTTGTTACCTTGCACCGACGCTAAAGCGAAAATCTGCAGCACAGCTGCTATTGAAGGTGACAAACACTAAAAATGACGAAGAAGGCGAATTCATCGCTGCGATGCTGAAATTCACACACCGGATCCCATCGCCAGCATTTTGTCAAAGCGCATGCGCAAAGAGGCTGTATCAACAGAATCCGTCTGATTTATGCAAGACTTGCAGTCCCAACATACCACAGTGAAAGCACCATTATACACACACAGTGGTGAAGTAATATATATACAAATGCTACCTAATTATTATGGTCCTGTGCGTTAAAAAACAGGTGTGAATGATTTGTTAATCGGAAGAGGGGACGAGGAGAAGGGAGAGGGGGATGCCAAATTCCTGCATCAGGTCAACCAGTTCGTCATCGGTTCCCTCCAAAGTCCTGGCCCCCGGGGGGAGAGCTAGGTTGACTGGCTGAGCGCTGACTGTGACTGCATCGAATGCTCCAGATCGCAGGAGAGCAGTGCTCGTTTCGAGCTGGGTAGCAGCAGTTCCACCCATACCACATCCCACTGGGCTCTTTGAGAATATGACACGGACCACGGGGCTGGAGAGATGAGTCCCCCGCGGCAGTGGACGTGCTGCGGTACACCCTCTCTGGAGTCCAGCCGTACTCGGAGAAGAGGTTTAGAATCGCCGAGAGCGTCATGGAAGTATCGCAGAACCAGCCGAGGGCGTCTCGCCTCTTTTTCTCCGGGCCGACTCGACTAGATATGGAGCCCAGAATCCCATAGTTGACGTCGCCTGTGATGCGAACTCCCTGCGTCAAGAAAACCTCGGCCGTCGCGTACTTTACCAGTCGCACGCCGCGCGCCCCACCGGCTTTGTCTCCCAACCACTGAGCGTGCAGAGCCGCGTACCAGTCGCGAGCCATTCCCTCAGTCTCAGCGGCGAGGTAGTAGACTTTCTTGGAGTTTGACTTTGTCGTGACGAGGCTGACACAGTGCTTCTTCCCCGAGTGCTCGCCGATCTGGCTCACGTCATGCACGTCGCCCATCGCCAAACTGCCTTGCGGGCTCGAATCGTCGGGTTTGGTGTACCACAGCAGACTGCGACCCTTGAGCACGAACCAGCGAGACTGCCACCTGAGTCGTGGTGCGCCTCCTTCCTTCAGCAGCCATCCCTCTCGAATCACCACCTCCTCCCTCGGAAGACTCATCATTCCCGCGCCGCAAACTTCTACCAACCCGGCGAAATTGCGCATGCGCATTCTGCATAGCGGCGAAGGTGTGCTCTAATTGGATATACTCGCGCCACCCGTTGCGCTGATTGTCAAAAAACCCTTCAGCCAAGAGAGCGTCATGTCGGAGACATCTCCTGTGCCCAGTCCACAGAGAGGGAAGCCGCCAAAATCGTGAGTAAACTTTTGCCCAATTTCTGTACCCCTTTTACGTCTTATTTTGTACGGAATCTGGTAGAGAGAGGATGGCGCAATAAACGGTGTCAGTCGCATCCCCATCAAACAGAGGCCGGCCCAACCGCCGCTCCACGTTCGTCACATTAGAGTAAGCCGTACAAACAGCACATACATGTCCATCTACTATTAGACCTTGTTGTGTCCGTACAGACTGGTATGGGAGGCGGGGAATACCCTGGAACTGCAGCCGTGAGACGAGGAAGAAGCTTCTCCATCAACCCCACCATCTCTGGCGGGGGCCCAAAGCCTCTCCCTGGGCTCCAGACACAAAAGAGAGCGTCATCCACCGACCCTCAACCAGTACCTCTCCCCTCCCCTGCTCCCTCTCAGTCACTCCCCCTCAGAGGCCCCGCCCCCTCTCCGCCTCTCTCTCGTCCGCTCCAGCCCTCGCAGCCGGGTCCTCCGTCCCAAATCCCTCGTTCCATCCCCCCTACCTCCTCTCTCCCTCCTTCCTCTGTCGCCCCGCGATCCTCTCAAGCCAGCATGTACAAGAGAGCACAGTCCGTCGCCACCACGTCGTACGCCACAGTTGAGGCGGCACGACTCAGACTAATAGAGAGAGCCACGAAAGCACGACTATATCTCCTGCATCAGATCGGGCCAAACAGGTTTCTAATTGGAGGAGATTCGCTGGACAGTCGATTCCACGTCACGATTGGTCCTCAGGTTAGCTTACAGCTCCCTCTTCTCTCTATCATTGTGAGAGTGTCCTCTGCTGTATATATGTACATTGGGAATGGCTGATGAAATGGTACACACCATATTAGAAGCCCACTACATAAATGGAATTGAGGGCTTGTAGTGTGAGTAGCGTAGGATGAGTTGCCAAATGTAATATTAGTGCAACCTGCATTCTTTTTAATTGACAATATGATGTAGGCACTTATGCAATTTTCCGAGTTACTTGATATTTAGTAAATAAATTTTCACACTTTAGTATGTACTCCAGGGCTACTCTCTCTCTCCCATAATACCTGTGCACTTGGTTTGTAGCACGCTGTGAGCAAAGGAAACGTCGTTTTGAAAACAAATATGATAGCAGAGAATTGGAATTACCAAAGTTAGGTAGTAAAATTTAAAAAGTGGTTTTAGTACTTCATATAGTACTCCAGTGTATGTATCCGGAATCTGGAAGTGGACCTGAGTGTGTAGCGACTTCCTGTGTTAGGACTCTCTGCCAAATGCCTCCCATGAAGCCAGGCAGACGTCATGTGACAAATAACTGCTGTTTTTGTTTGACCACACGCTGTGTACCAACACAAACACAGCAACCCCGACCTCCTACTCTCTGAACACAAACACACACACCAGAGCTTTGTATGTGACATACTTCACTGTGTCTGGACCTCTTACTCTCCAAACACACACACACACACACATGCAGAGCTGTACCTGTGGCAAGCCCCATTGTATCCACCTACTGTTTGTGATGTTACGTGTCCTCAAAGTCGGTCCAGGAGATCCTCTCCTCTCTGCCAAAACTTTGAGGAACTATGAGGTAAGAGAGTAAAGGTTTCATCATCAATACTTTATGTGAACTTAGTTATATCTTCTTCTTATTTAACCCCTCTGGAAAAGCTTTACCTGATGATGAATGCTCACTAGGCTTGCCCCTGCAATTGTTACTGTTTAAAGGGCACTTCACGTCTAATAAATCTCTCTCTTTCTTCGATCCCTCTCTGCAAACAGACAGAAAGTCTACTAAGAGATCTCCATGCCAGAAACACTCAGAGAACCACGCCCAAGAAGTTCAACAAGAGGAGGTTCGACTTCTCTGTCAGTAAGATGGCCACCTCTGCTGCGTCGATGAGGCCTCACTCCATCTGTAAGATTGACGACCTAGACGAGAGAGAAGAGGATGTGGCCAGCGTCCCTGGAGGGTCAGTGGCAGCGGCTGCTCACCCTGACCTCAGTGAGTGGTATATACATACAGTGGTGACCTCAGTGAGTATAGAGAGAGGAAGGTTTCAATTTGAGTCCCAATCAACCAGGAGTCGCATACATAGTGTTGTATGACGGAGTAACGAACACTTATTTCATCATCATGATGGATCACAACCAACCATCCACACTGTGTGGTCTGATCATTACCTCTTTTGTATGTCTAGTGACTATGCCCACATCAGCTGTACTGTGTTGTATACAGACGGAGGTAAAGTAAGAGAGGAAGGAGATGGAGAGTGTGAGGGTGAGAGGGGGGAGGAGGGGGAGGGGGAGAGGGGGGACAGTGACAAGAGCGATGAGGAGGACATCTGTCCCATTTGTCTCAACGAGCTTGACGAGGGGGAGGACCTCATCGCCTGCCGTCGCTGTGGCAACAGGCTCCACCAACACTGCATGGATATTTGTGAGGAATATTCCAGCCACTAGTCACATTTATACCATTATTGTAGTGAGAGAAACTGTCCACTGTGCATTGTTGGTAGTTATAAGACAAAAAATACATAGATAGAGACAAGAGGATGAGGAGTGGCTAGGTTCACAATTATTATGTCGCAATGCCCTGTCGTCCCGTGCCGAGATGATAGAAATTGATTCTATGTTTGTGATGCAACAAAGCCAGTCTGTCTCCATCTCGTAGGGGCTGGAGAGCAGCACAGGAAGAAGGAGGTGGTCCAATGTCCAGTGTGCAGGACATCGTGGCATAACTCCACAGCCTCTCCCTCCAAACCAGGCGGACAGCTGTTCCTGCAGGTCAGCGTCCCCGTGGGGGGTGAGGGGGGCGGGGCCTCGAGGGGTTTGGCCAGCGGAGGAGGACTGCGCCTGAAGTCTCTGAGTCCAGCTCATCAGATGAACCTGAGCAGAGAGAAGGTCCTCATGCTGGAGAAGATACGCAAGGTACCGCAGAGGTTTTATAGAAATGTTTCGGGAGACATACATTAAGCCTGTACATCACATTACAGCAGTGTATGTAGATGTGTTATTGTAGGAAATGTAGTACTAATAACCATGGGGTTTGCAGGACTACAAACTTGTACAATTTGTAACGGATGCTGTACCCCCTCTCCCCCCCCCTGGCAGGTGTTTGGAGAGATGGTAATGGAGGGGGTCCTCTCTCCAGACTGGAAATCCAGGGAGATGGCCGTCACCCACACCTCCCGTGAGGTTGTCTCACTCCTCCTGCCCCAGATCAAGGCCACCAACGTCTCCATGGAGACGGGGGCGGAGTGGCGGGAGGTTCACGAGGCGGCGTTCCTCATCATCGTGAATGGCTGCAGCGACTCTGTCCTCAAGGTCTTCCTGGCTTCCCTGGTGAGCCCCTTTCTCTCTCTTCTTTCCCCATCCTCCTCAGAGTCCTTTAGTTTTCTCTTATCACGTAATATTCGCAGCAGAGGAAATGTCTGTGGGCCTCGCAATACTCAGTGGAAGCCCTCTCTCCTGAAATGAGGAGCACCTTTTTCTTCTTCCCCAAGAGCTTGCAATTCGACCCCTGAAATAAGGAAATATGGACACTTCCATTTGTGTGTCCATATTATTAGGTGGTTCCATTGTAGACCACTCTCTGGGGTTCATTGTATGGGTTGAGCAGTTGAAAACTGTGCATCAAACACCTCTGTGTGTTCTCCCCACCTCCCCCACTGCATGCAGGAGCTGCTGAGGGTAGTGTTGGGCTACACCGTGTGTTCGACAGAGGAGGACTCCGCCTTCCTCCAGGCACTCCTCAAACCTCTCGTTCTTATTCTCCTCACTCGCTGTGCCAACGCCCAAAGGTGGGTGGAGTCTCGTGATAATCATACTGCTTGTTACTACATTGCTGGTTGAAGAATCTGAGCACACTATGCTGTTTTTGTGTGCATCTGTCATTTTCAATGTAACCACATCAGTTTAATTTTCCTTGCTACACTTTTTTGAATGTTTTTTTCAATTCAGTCCTTTCAGCTTTAGCATGTGGCCATTTGTTTTCTCCTTTCCCCATTCTTCCCTCCACCCCCTCTCTCTACCTCCACCCCCTCTCCAGTCGTGTCAAAGAGTGCTCCATTGACACGGTGTGCCATTTCTGTCTGGGACAGGAGGGACCTCTTTCTCTCGGCTCTGCCTGTGGGAAGACGAGTCCCTTTTGCGTGTCCAGTCTCCCGTTTGTCGTTCAGTGTGCCCTCAGACGGGACGAGACGACCACTGAGATCCAGACGTGGCACTGGTGGCTCGGGAGACTCAACTTCATCGAGAGAATGACGCAGAGATTTTCTTGGGATTTCCTCCTCGAAAACTGCACCTATCAGCCTCCGTTTTCGGCGCACCCTGACCCCGAGGACTCGCTGACCAGCATGTCTGCGGGGAGTTTGGAGGCTCAGCCATTGTCGCTCGACGTTCCCTCGGACGACGAGGGAGGGAGGGACGACGAGGGAGGGAGGGACGACGAGGGAGGGAGGGAGGACGAGAAACACGTGAGAAGTGACAATTCTCCAAACAAGGTTGAATATCTACTCCCACCCCCTCCCCCGTTCCCCGCGCGGCCTTCCCCCTCTCCCTCCCCGCCCGTCCACCCAGCTGCCGAGACAAACCTCCTCGCCCAGGCGTGGTACTTTGCCGCCGCGGCAACCCACATCCCTCACAACAAGGTGGGTAAAGTCGCGCGACGTGTCATAATCCGCATCGCCAAGGTCCTGCGCAGCGAGCCTTTCTCTCTGGAAATAGTTCACGACGTCGTGTCTCGATGTCACCGCACGGCTGCAGAAGGACTCCTCGACCGAGTTTTGACAGCTCGTGAGAAGTCGGCGCCCTCCATTGAGAGGCAATCAGAGCAGGAACCAAAGAAGAAACGAGCGGAAGAGAGGCGACTAACATCTTCTCAGAAGTACGCTCCGTTTCCGGAGGTTCGGAAAAGAAAGGAGAGTCCGTTGCCGCGGGCGAGAGATTCAGCCACTCCCGATAGAGGGGGCGGGGTTTCACCAGGGGGTGTGGCTTCAGACGACAGCTACCGGTCGGCGGTGTCTGATCTGAGTGGGGAGGAGAGGGGGGGAGGGGAGGGAGTGAGGGAGGAGAGGAGACCAGAGGGGGCCTCATCCAGTGGGGCCAGCTCTGACAGCAAGTCTGAGGAGAAGGGAGGCGCCACGGGGATCAGCCCTGGGAACATGAAACTCCCCAAGTGAGCTCTTACCCTGCAAACCTTTACGACTACCATGTGTTCTGGAGTTAAACCCTTACATGCAATATAGAGTGGTTAATGTGTGATGTAAACGTCCTGAATGACCTCTGCCCTCTCTGTTAGCTACTATCAGAGACAGACGACGGTTGACTCAGCCTTCAGCAGTGGCAGTGTCAGTACCGAGCCCGAGGGCTCTGGACTCGAAGTCTTTCAGTAAGTCGATCCTTCCAACAACCACCTCCATGTGAATTGTGATATTTTGTGTGGGTGATGTACATACAAACAGTTTAATATTTTTGTAAATTTAGTCCTCCGAGTGACGTTGAGCATAAGCATAATGTCTGTTTGTGCAGGTGTAAGAGGAACATAGAAGAAGAGGAGGCTGCTGCTGAGGCAAAGGTCCGCTCTCTGGTCCCCGAGGACACGCCCCACCCCTCGCTCTACGGGATACAACCCCCCAGCCCAGAGATCCTCATCCATGTACAGGGCACCGCAGGAGGAGCAGAGGTAACAATACTTATTCTTCTCAGTGTTATATGTTATGCAATAGGTTGCAACAGTGATTTCCGCTGGAACTACTTGTTGAGAGTGTTACTTATTCTGTGTAACAATGAGAAGATACCGTGTTCCCATGTGCAGGGTAGTGATGGTCCCGGAGCTGCGTACCTTGAAGGGAAGCAGTGGGTGAAAGGAAAGCTGATTGGCACCGGAGCTTTCTGCTCGTGCTTCCTGGCAAGAGACACTCGTCTGGGGACAATGATGGCAGTCAAACAGGTTTGTCCAACTGGCAAAACCAGACAAACCAAGTTCACAATAGCTCAGTTGCTTGTCGCCGTCACAAGGATATAATCCTCTCCCTCCTCAGGTGAGCTACGCGAGGAACACAAAGACGGAGGAACAGGCTGAGATGAAGAGACTGCAGGAGGAGGTGATGATGCTGGGTAGACTGTCCCACCCCAACGTGGTCCGCTGTCTCGGAGCCACTCAACACGAGGGACACATCAACATATTCATAGAGTGGATGGCCGGAGGGTGCCTGGATCAAGTTCTCCACGACTTTGGCCGGTTTGCTGAGAGCGTCATTTGTAACTACAGCCGCCAGATCATATATGGAATAGTCTACCTCCACGAACATGGGATCATTCACAGGGATTTGAAAGGTCTGTAAACCTCTCTTTCTTTCTCTCTTCCTTTACAATTTCTCAATTTCTCTCATTATGCCGTTTTAACAATCATGTCAAAATCGGTCCGACGTTTCAGCCCAGAAGGCTTTTCCTAACCTATACTCTGAGGCAGTCTGAACTTCATTCTAAATTCTTTCTCTCGCCCTGTAGATAGATACAACCTTTGCTCTTTCTGTCTCTGTGCTTTGCTCCTCGCACATCTTTGCATAAGCTAATCTGGTTTATCTCTCTCTGCTGGTATACTGCAGGTGGCAATATTCTGCTGGACTCCACCGGTCGGAGAGTAAGGATTGCTGACTTCGGTGCAGCCGCTCGACTGGCCAGCCACACCACAGGACTCGGAGAATTTCAAGACATGGAGGGAACTGTGGCTTTCATGGCTCCCGAGGTATGTCTGTACAGGACACCCTGCAAGATCAGGACACTGCCCAGCTTTAAACCTGTCCTGAAAACACTCTATTTTCATCGTCTCCCCTCTCCCTCCTCGCAGGTGGTGAGGGGAGGTACGACAGAAGAAGGCTCTGCCACCGGGGTATGGCAGGAAGTGTGACGTCTGGTCCATTGGTTGCGTCATCATCCAAATGGCATCGGCCAAGCCTCCCTGGGCTGGGACATATGACGTCAAAAACAAGTTTCAACTTATCTTCAAAGTCAGTTGTATAACACCTTATCTTACTGTCCTCGTATAATATTACCCCGATCTCATGTCTCTGTAGATTGGCCAAGCAACGGAGCCCCCTCCTTTGCCACCATTCTCAGATCCCGCCCTCAAAGATTTAACCCTTCGCTGCATGGAGGTGAACCCAGACGACCGTCCCGTCTCCTCTGAACTCCTCAAACATCCCCTCTTCACCTCATCATGATTACCTAATCATTACATCATCTCTTATTTTATAACGCCAAGTCTTCATATGCATCTTAGTTGTGTAAACTTGTCCCTTTTCCAATCACTTTTCCCCTTTTATTATTATTATAATTATATATATATACCCACAAACGGTTTTATATCACGTGACATTCATCTTGATGAATCATAGTTTATACGCATGTGTAAAGGGTGCGGGTAAAGCATGCGTTCAGTCCAGTTCTTTACTAGGCAACGGTGGGTTTGGCAGGCATCTCCTGCACGTTAGGTCACACGTACAGTGTCCGTCTCGCAATGGCACTGAAGCTTTTGCGCTGTGCGGCACTAGAAAGGCTCCATATCCAAGTTTGGTGCTTCCCAAGTTTGGTTTTGGAGTCTTCAAGTCAGTAGTAACGCCGCATTACACGCTGCAGAGCTTAGTACTGTCACTCTTTTGTCTGTGGTTTTATCCCTCGAACTTTGTTTTCGATTACTCTCCGTTTACGCTGCGGCCTGACGGATGGACTGCAGAATTGCCGCGTTTTTCGTCTTCTTCGTAACATCAGGTACACCATTCCGCACTGCAGTGTAGCGAGCTAGCACTGACGGTGTTTTCCCTGCAGTGCCGCCGTGTGTACGGAGCCAGGAGCAGCAGATTGTGCTACTGGAGAACGGCCAAACCTTCGCAGTGACCGCGCAGTTCTCCGTGGGGTACGCCAGCGACCTTTTGGTGGATTTCCAGTGCATCGGAACTGACCCGGAGACCGCGTGGTCTAGAAGAAGGCCCAGGTTCAGTCCGCTGCCTGAACCCCTTGACCCCAGGACCACCTCCTTTAGTCCCAGCTCTGGAGTGGTTCGCATATTCTCAGACTACATTAGAAACCCAGACAACATAGATGATGGTGCTGTGACCATCGGGTGTTTCAGAGGTGGCCCAGCCACCGTGGTACTCATGCCAGGTACGTAGCAATACCTCAAGTCATGGAACCCTCCTCTCCATCCACTTTACCCAAACTTCAAAATTATTGTTTACAGTCCTTCAAGGTGGCCTGTGTCACAAACAATACACACACTGCAAATGTCACAGCTCCCACCCTCTCTCCTACACAGTCCAAAATCTCTTTTTCACTGCTCCATTCCTGACTCCCATTCCCTCCACTGACGACCTGCGCTCATTCTGCACCGGTCTCCTCCCCCAACTCCCCACCTTCAATGTCACCCCCGTCACCACTCCCGGTAGTCATGGCTACTGTGATTACCAATCAGCCAGGGGCTCCTTCAGAAGTCCCAGTTTTGCCTTCACTGATGGAGACACTGGTAAGCCACTTTACTGAGTAGAACAGAAACATTATAGGACACTATGTATTATACAGGACACTAGTTTTTCAAACATACACGTATATCTTTAAAAAGAGTTTCTCGTTACTGTTTTTGAGGAACACCTTATGGCATGCAATTATAGACGTCTGATAAAAATTCTCTCAACTTGATCATCATCAGGTACGTCTCCAGCTCCCGAGTTTGTTATTCAGCCACTGAACATCACTGTCCGGTCAATTAACAACATAACGAGAGGGGCATTCTCCTGCGGTGTGTACCCCTCGTCCCCAGTCCAATCTATCACCTGGTACTTTAACCCTGGCAGTGGAGCCAGCCCAGTCAGCACCAGTGACCCTGATGTGAGGACACTGACCCAGACTGGTACCAGTGTTCTGGTCCTGGAGAACGTGGGGCCGGAGAGAGACGGCTCGTATCACTGCCAGGTGACGCTGGATGCAGGGGGGAACCCTCTCATTAGTGGAGAAGGGTTTCTTGTGGTCAACGGTGAGTTTGCAACGATCCAACTCATGCAATACCAGCATTCTTTATTGTAGTAAAATATGTGTGTGAAATTTAGTTTGTTTTTGTGTGTTTGTGAATGTCACTTCATGATTGTTGAATTACCTCAAGCCACTTTCACCCACTCAGCATTAGAAAGTACATATCTTCTCTCTTTCACTCAGAAACTGCCGCTTCGGACATTGACACAATTATCCTGGCCCCTCCCCCCTCCCTCTCGGTCTCCGAGGGTAACAGTGTCCTGATCCCCTGCGTGGGGTCCGCACAACAGCCAGTGTTTACTGGTGGATCTCCCGCGGCAACGAGGGATACCCCCTCCTCTTTTGGACTAACGATATCCTCGGCAGATCGCGAAGACAGCGGCACTATTGTCTGTCAAGTGGGCGGAGCCTCGCCCGAAGTGAATCTCACAGTATATGGTGAGTGTTTTTGCAATGACATCACGGTGACGTAATGCACCCACCAGTCATCTGTTATCCCACAAACAGAGAACCCTTATCATGAGGAAAGACTATACTTGTACTGTGGAAAGAGACTCAGTGAAACAACTGCACCCTCACTGTATAGCTATGGGAAACAGTGTGTAAATGTGTGACACTCACTGGTGGTATGCATGTCAGCTATAGTAGAGCCTGGGATTCACCGTACTGAAACCTTGTACGTAGCTCTACTATGTGTAGAAGTTGTGGCGTTGGAATGTAGTAGTGACTTGAAAGTTGCTCTGTCAGTTTCGTACCAGTCTCTGTGAGGTATAGAGAGTGGGCTCAGGTTACTGGTGGAGCTAGAGCCTCTGTTCAGTTAGGAGATGTTTAGAGAGAGGGAGGAGAAAGAGGAGAGGGAGAGAGGAGGGGGAGGAGAAAGAGAAGAGGAGGGGGAAGAGAGGAGAAAGAGGAGAGGGAGGGAGAAGAGGGAGGGGGAAGAGGGAGGAGAAAGAGGAGGAGAAAGAGGAGAGGGAGAGAGGAGAGGAGAGAGGAGAGGAGAAGAGAGGAGAAAGAGGGGAGGGTGTACGTTTGTGTTGCTGTTTTTGGTCAATTGCATGTGTAAACAGAGATCACGGTAGCTCCTCATTAGGTGAGCGGCACTCACGCAGTCCACAATGAGTCTGCACTTAATATAGTGTAGTGTGTGTGAAGAGTTCACTATAGTCTCAGGGAAATGGTGGTGCAGTCATGGGCTCTATGGTATGTCAATATTGACCTAAAGAGAAGCCTCAGGAAGAGCCATCATTGCATATCCTAACACCTCTCCTCTCTCCCAGCTGAGCCTCGATTTGAAGAAGAACTGACACAGGAAGTTGCGAGGTTCCTCAACGAAGACAACTCGCCCATTCAGTTGACATGTGAGCTCAGTGGAGTCCCTCTTCCCTCCCTCACCTTCCTCTACAACAACCAGCCATTCAATAGCACCTCCAGACTGACAGTGAAGACAGAGTCCCCTACCTGCAAGTCAGTGAAGGAGGGTAGTCTTGGCTACTAGAGTCAGGTGTAGCTAGCTAGTCAGCACAAAGGGTAGGATGGTTTACAATGAGGTGGAGACCGAACATGTGGGCCATTGTTTTGTTGGCAGTTAATGTTGCATCGTCTACTGCTGACTCTCTCTCTCTCTCTCTCTCTCTCTCTCGCTGTGCAGTACATGTGTTCGTCATACTCTGAGTATCGAGGACCCACAGCCAGGAGATGAAGGAGTATACCAGTGTCTAGGGACAGCAGGAGAGGACAGCAGTACTACCATTGTCTCCACCTCTTACCTCAACCTCCAGTGTTAGTGGACACAGATCCAACAAACACATGCATCTTCCAATAATAGCTTCAAAAACACCCAACAGTTTGCTTAAAATTGTGGTCCCTAGCTCACAAACCAAAAGAGCATAACTCGGCTCGATAGCTAGGTTTCTTGAGAGCTCTGTTCAACTGTTTCCCATCTCTCCCCGCAGTTTTGATGAGCCCAGTCATCTCCTACAATGGAGAGGTGGTGGAGGAAGTGGTGGAACTAACCTTTGATGATTTTGGGGAGATGGTGCAACTGGAGTGCAGCGTGGTGGCTCACCCTATTCCCTCCATCTCCTGGTCGAGGAATGACAGCTCTCCTCTCACTGGCACTCAGACATTCACTGGATTCAGGTGATCATCTCTCCACCTTATAGTCCAGTTGTGGTACTTGCCTAATTGTGACATCGTTGCACGGTTTATCACTTTATCACTGGAGCATTTGTGTAGAGAGTTGCTAGTATTGTATGCTAGTTCTCAAAGTTCTCAAAGTTTATCTGAGAAAACGATTTTTGTAATTTTCTGAATCTAGTTAATGTTTTCCAGCTATAGAGAGTGTCTTAGTCATGCATCAACTTCAGTGGTGGCGTGCGTGTTCTGTCCCCACATTTCCAGAGAGGCAGCCATGTCAGTGTTGGAGCTGGCAGTGGACAGTGTGGTGGGGTCAGTGGCTGTCACCTGCTCTGCTGCAGGGCTCATGGGGGTCATTGAGGCAACTACCATCACTATCACTGTACCATTCCGTGAGTCATCCCTACGTTTGGACTCAGAATGTACCGTTCTGTCTGTCATACCCATTAATTATCACCTCACTTTTGAAACCTTGTGGACCAAAAGGCCTCTTGAATTGCTGTCAAATGAAGCGAAACACAATAAAATAGAAACAGCCAGTATTCTAAGCAATAATTATAGCCAAGCACAAATGCACCAGAGTGTACCACGAGGTCTCATCTCTACTTCCAGGACCTGCAGTCATCACTGGGCCTCCTGATGATGTCATAGCTATTGAAAATGAACTGGTCAACTTCACCTGTCTCTTCAGTGGCCTCCCGCAGCCAGTCGTCAACTGGACCGCCTTCCCCTCCTTCCCTGACCTCTACACTGTGACCCCTGGACCCACCAGCAGTACTCTGCAGTTTGAGGCAGCTCTCTCTCTCAACCTGACCTCTGTCCACTGCACTGCTGTCAATAGCGTTGGGAGTGACACCAGCACTAATGCCACTCTCACCATCGCTGGTAAGAACGTACCACACATCAGTCGTTTCTAGGTCTATATTACATCATCTATATTATACTCGCGATCTAATGGTGTGTATGTATTATTGTGTCTCCCTCCAGGTGGTCCAGGTACACCCTCCCTCTCAGCCACTCCTGGAGCTCGTGATGTCACCATTGAGTGGATCTCTCCTTTCTCCCTCCTCCCCATCTCACAGCTCCTGCTGGTGACCGCCGGACCCTCTGACTCCTTCCAGAGAACACCATCACCTTCACCTTTCAATACTGTGACTATAGACTCCCTCCGTCCCTTCACAAACTATGCCGCCACTCTTACCACCACCAATAGAGCTGGCAACTCCGTAGCCACACTATCCTTCACCACACTCCAAGCAGGTATGTGTAGAGCTCATGTGATGTCACATGATTGATCACGTGACCATTGGCCCCGCCCCATGCAGCTCCAGACACCCCGCCCATTAACGTCATGGCAGCAGCAGTGGACACTGGTAGTATTCTCGTCTCCTGGGAACCCCCTCCAATTAGCAACGGAATCATTATACAATATGTTCTGACCTTTGGACCCCTGGCCACGCCCACCCAGTCACGGATGAATATTACAGATACCCAGGTCCTGGTGCTCGTTCCATCCCCTGACACTGCATACTCCTTTACTGTGGCGGCAGAGACCGTTTTCGTCGGTCCAGCGAGCTCCCCCTGTGGTTCAAAGGTCGTATCCTCTCCCCCCACCACCGCCCGAGACTCCGCCCACTATCCCTGACGACGTCGCCATCACCTTGACAACCATCCCCATCAATCTTCCAATGATGAACACCTCACTGTTCAGGTTTTCACCCTAATACTGTATAGAGAAATGTGTGCAATCACAAATTTTGTAGATTTGATTGATTGCTTGCTCTCAAAATCGTTCCTGCCCACAAAATTTTACTGATACTCTTTCATTATGACTTTTAGACGGAAAAATTATTAGTCCTCACTGAAACTGTCTCTCTCTCTCTCTCTGTCGCCAGTCATTTCTGGGTGGTGGCGGTCAGATTGGGTTCAGAGGACCCAGGTTTCCTGCAGAGCTCTCCAAGTGCCCACTTTACCTCCAGCCAGTCCCTCACCACCTACTCCGACGGTAAACTACCACTGTACTGGCAGTGGCTGCAACATACGTATGGAACATGCATTTCAAGCAAAACAGAGAAGTTTTGCAGATTTTCTTCCCTGTTCGACTAGTGGCTTCTGCCAACAAATTATGAAACATTTGCGATGTTTTCAAAAAACAGTTGAACAATTTATTAGCAAAAGTCCACAACTCCTCCAGGTCATCAATGCTATCTGTTTGTGTGCAGATATTCCAGAGAACACTGGCTACATAGTCTCAGAGATCTCGGCCACTGTGTACGGCAATGTGGCCTCCGAGGTGTTCCTCCTGGGAGACCACAACGAGACGATGGGCAGCAATGATTTCCCAGAGCAATACGTGAACGGACCTCTGGAGGAGGGGACAAGATACTCTGTCTTTGTCTGGGGCTTTATCCCTGCCATCCAGAACTCCTCTGTATGTTGGATATTTATCATCTGTTCCCTCCTTTATCTCTCTCTCTCCTCCTCCTCCTCTCACCTCCTCCTCTCTCACATGGACAGGAGGGAGTAGCAAAAAGACAAACTCAGGAAGAAAGGCAGTACAGAGTCTTCACCTCCAGCTCCTTCTCGCCTACTTCCACTGCCACTAGAGGTAAACCAGCACTGCATTTCAATAGCCCTACGTTGGGACTCAGAATGTACCGTTCTGTCTGTCACACCCATTTATCACTTCACTTTGTAAACCTTGAGGACCAAATGTCCTCTTGAATTGCTGTCAAATGAAGCGAAACACAATAAAATAGTATTATAGCCAAGCACAAATGCGCTAGTGTACCACGAGGTCTCATCTCTACTTCCAGGACCATAGAACAAACCAGCAAGGACTAAAGAAGACTATCCCTGCTCATCATTGGTTCAAAATACTGCATCCTCATGCACTTTGTGACGTGTGTTTGGTTTCTCTGAGTTGGCATAATTATATGTAAGCCCACACCGCATGTTTGCATTTCCAGGGACCAAATCAACAACACCAAGGACAACGAAATTTTCACATATATATTAACCATGGTCCCAATAAACCTCTTGCTATCCTGTTTTGGGGGAAACACAATGAGGACTGACTCCCTCCACAAACTACTCCATATCAGTAGCTGCTGTGAATGAGAATGGAGATGTTGGGCTCTACTCTGACCCTGTGACAACAATGACACACCAATGTATTACAATATTCAGTTGCTATGATGATATTGCCATTGCTCCTATGATACAGGTAGTTGTGAATCTGCTGATAGTCTCCAGTCATCTGGTTCATACTGGTATGATTGTTGGAGTGGTGATAGGCCTACTTGGTGTAGCAGTGGGTGTCTCTGGACTCATCGGTGCAGCAGTTATTGCCAAAAGACACAGGTACCATCACCAGTGTCTGCCATTCAGCCATGCTCTCTACACTATGTTACAGACCAGCTGAGGTCAAGGGAGATATGGCAACAGGGGCCAACCCAGCGTATGGTATGAGTGGTCCTCATGGGAAACCAGCAGAGACTGAAGGAGAGTACGAGATTCCTCAGTACACCCAGCCACCATCTGGGGCCGAGGGGATTTATGAGGGTGTCTATTGACATAACCCCTACATACAGCTACTTAGTATACACTATAATAATGTATGTTTTGAGTCCATGTTGTGACATGCATTCTGTGTGGGCCTTTTTATAAAAAGTGCAAGTATTGTGTGACTGTATGCCATCTAGTTTGCTAACAGCGCAAGCTGCGGAAAATGTGTCATAGAACAAACCAGCAGGGACTAAAGAAGACTATATCCCTGCTCATCATTGGTTCAAAATACTGCATCCTCATGCTCGTTGTGAGGTGTGTTTGGTTTCTCTGACATATCTATGGCTGGTATGCTATGAACTATAATTTCATGTTTCTGAGTTGGTATTTCTGGTATGTAAGCCACCGCATTTCAATCACGCATGTTTGCAACCAAATCATCAACAACAACACCAAGGACAACGAAATTTTCACATAATATTACCGTGGTCCCAATAAACCTCTCGCTAGTCGTACGTGTTGGGGGAAAGTAAAACTCGCGCTCCCTAATTAGCTATTCGGCCGGAGCCGCGCCGCGCCCCGTCTAACAGTGCGAGGTCCTAGCTGTATATACTGTGTGGTGGTGGTAAGCAGTGGCGGATTTGGGGGGGGTAGGTCCTACCCGGTACCCACGTATAATACTCTCGCGCAGACCACGTGCGTGCAACAGCTGGCCACGGCGTTGTTGTTGATCGATCAACATTCTGTCAAACTAGCGCAGCCGTATGACACCGATAGCTACGACGACGAACGTCATGTCTAGTCTCTGGGCAGTCGCCTCATCCGGAAGCTCTTCATCGGATCTTGGGGGGCGTTCCATCAACATACAAGAGAATGTCACGCGTTTTATATCACGTGACATTCATCTTGAATTGAATGACGATCGATGATCATCATGAATCATAGTTTATACGCATGTGTAAAGGGTTTGGCGACGCGCATGCTGGTAAAGCTACCGCAGCGGCACTAATCATGCGTTCAGTCCAGTTCTTTACTAGGCAACGGTGGGTTTGGCAGGCATCTCCTGCACGTTAGGTCACACGTACAGTGTCCGTCTCGCAATGGCACTGAAGCTTTTGCGCTGTGCGGCACTAGAAAGGCTCCATATCCAAGTTTGGTGCTTCCCAATTGGATGTTCAAGTCAGTAGTAACGCCGCATTACACGCTGCAGAGCTTAGTACTGTCACTCTTTTGTCTGTGGTTTTATCCCTCGAACTTTGTTTTCAATTACTCTTCCAGAGCCGTTTACGCTGCGGCCTGACGGATGGACTGCAGAATTGCCGCGGTTTTCGTCTTCTTTGTAACATCAGGTACGTACAGTGGTTCTACCATTCCGCACTGCAGTGTAGCGAGCTAGCACTGGACGGTGTTTTCCCTGCAGTGCCGCCGTGTGTACGGAGCCAGGAGCAGCAGATTGAGCTACTGGAGAACGGCCAAACCTTCGCAGTGACGCAGTTCTCCGTGGGGTACGCCAGCGACCTTTTGGTGGATTTCCAGTGCATCGGTACTAACCCTGTGACCGCGTGGTCTGGAAGAACGCCGAGGTTCAGTGCGCTGGCCTCACCCCTTGACCCCAGCACCACCTCCTTTAGTCCCAGCTCCGGAGTGGTTCGCATATTCTCAGACTACATCAGAAACCCAGACAACATCTTTGGTGGTGCTGTGACCATCGTGTGTTTCAGAGGTGGCCCAGGTACCGCCACCGTGGTACTCATGCCAGGTACGTAGCAATACTTCAAGTCGTGGAACCCTCCTCTCCATCCACTTTACCCACTTTACCTGCTACAACTTCAAAATTATTGTTTACGGTCCCTCATTAGGTGGCCTGTGTCACAAACAATACACACACACACTGCTCAAATGTCACAGCTCCCACCCTCTCTCCTACGCAGTCCAAAATCTCTTTTTCACTGCTCCGACTCCCATCGCCTCCACTGACGACCTGCGCTCATTCTACACCGATCTCCTCCCCCAACTCCCCACCTTCACTGTCACCCCCGTCACCACTCCCGGTAGTCATGGCTACTGTGATTACCAATCAGCCAGGGGCTCCTTCAGAAGTCCCAGTTTTGCCTTCACTGATGGAGACACTGGTAAGCCACTTTACTGAGTAGAACAGAAACATTATAGGACACTATGTATTATACAGGACACTAGTTTTTCCACTACTTTAAAGCTGTTACTGTTTTTGAGGAACACCTTATGGCATGCAATTATAGACGTCTGATAAAAATGCTCTCAACTTGATCATCATCAGGTACGTCTACAGCTCCCGAGTTTGTTATTCACCCGAACATCACTGAATTCACGGTCAATATAACAATCACGAGAGGTGGACACGTCTTCTAGAGGGGCATTCTCCTGCGTGTGGTACCCCTCTGTCCCCAGTCCATCTATCACCTGTACGTAACCCTGGCAGTGAAAGCCAGCCCAGTCACACCAGTGACCCTGATGTGAGGACACTGACCCAGACTGGTACCAGTGTTCTGGTCCTGGAGAACGTGGGGCCGAGAGAGACGCTCGTATCACTGCCAGTGAGCTGGATGCAGGGGGGAACCCTCTCATTAGTGGAGAAGGGTTTCTTGTGGTCACGTGAGTTTGCAACGATCCAAACTCATGCAATACCAGCATTCTTATTGTAGTAAAATATGTGTGTGAAATTTAGTTGTTTTTTGTGTGTTTGTGATGTCACTCATGATTGTTGAATTACTCTCTAAGCTCCCTCAAGCCACTGTCACCACATCTAGCATTAGAAAGTACATATCCTTCTCTCTTTCATCAGAAACTGCCGCTTCGGACATGACCAATGTATCCTGGCCCCTCCCCCCTCCCTCTCGTCGCGAGGGTAACAGTGTCCTGACCCTGCGTGGGGTCAGCACAACAGCCAGTGTTTACTGGTGGATCTCCCGCGGCAACGAGGATCCCCCTCCTCTTTGGACTACGATATCCGCGCAGATCGCGAATCAGCGGCACTATTGTCGTCAATGGGCGGAGCCTCGCCCGAGTGAATCTCACAGTATATGGTGAGTGTTGCAATGACATAACGGTGACGTAATGCACCCACCAGTCATCTGTTATCCCACAAACAGAGAAACCTATCATGAGAAAGACTATACTGTACGTGGAGAGACTCAGTGAACAACTGCCACCCTCACTGTATAGCTATGGGAAACAGTGTGTAATGTGTGCCACTCACTGGTGGTATGCATGTCACTATAGTAGAGCCTGGATTCACATACTGAAACCTGTAGCTCTACTATTGTAGAAGTTGTGGCGTTGAATGTAGTGACTTGAAAGTGCTCTGTCAGTTTCGTACCAGTCTCTTGAGGTATAGAGAGTGGGCTCAGGTTACTGGTGGAGCTAGAGCCTCTTTGTTCGGTTAGGAGTTGTTTAGAGAGAGTGATGAGAATAGTATCGGGGCAAGAACTAGGCTGTGCGTCAGCAACGAGACCTGAGTTCGGCTCACTCTCGCGTCTCTCTCTCTTTCTGCCTCCTCTTCTCGTTTCCTCGGCTCGTTCTGCTCCCTCTCCTCTTTATGCTCCCTGTTTCTGCTTCCCTTCTCTGTCTCTCGGCTCTTCTGCCCCCCTCTTCGCGGTCGCGCTTCGCGTCTTGTCAGATCTTAGACACTAGGGGCTGTTCCTTTTTTGTGTTGCTGTTTTTGGTCCATTGCAACTTTGTCAACCATCGGCTCCACTGTCGCTCTCATTAGGTTGGAGTGGCACTCCGCAGTTCCACACTGAGTATTCACTTATATAGTGTAGTGTGTGTGAAGAGTTTCACTATAGATAGTCTCAGGGAAATTTTGTGGCAGTCATTGGCTCTATGTTCATGTCAATATTTACCTAAAGAGAAGCTCAGGAAAACCTCATTGCATATCCTAACACCTCTCTCTCTCCCAGCTGAGCTCCGAATTTTTGAAGAAGACTTACACAGGAAGTTGCGAGGGTTTCCTCACCAATACAACTACCCTCGCCCCATTCAGTTGAACCTGTGTTCTCAGTGGGTCGCGCTCTTCCCTTCACCGTCCCCTTCCTTCTACAAAACACTACATACCATCCACTCATTTACAAACCTCCATACTTAACGTTATTACTATGAGGTCCCCCTTACTTACCTCCCCTAACCTGCAAAGTCAGTGAAGGATGGTAGTCTTGTCACTCTAAGAGTCAGTTGTAGCTAGCTATTCGCCAAAGGTAGGATGTTTACAATGAGTTGCATGGGACCGAATGTGTGGAACCATTTGTTTTGTTGGCGTAAGTTGCAATCGTCTACTGCTGACTCTCCCTCTCTCCTCTCTCTCTCTCTCCTCTCTCTCTACTCTCCCTCTCTCCTCTCTCTCTCTTCTCCGTCTCCTCCTCTCCTCCTCCTCTCTCTTCTGTCATCATCTTCTCGTTCTCGGTCGGTCCTCTCGCTCGCGCTGTTCAGTACGTGTGTTCAGCATACTCTGATTAATCGAGGATCCCACAGCCCTAGTTAGAGAAGGAGTATACAGTGTCTAGGGGACAAGCAGGAGAGGGACAAGCATACACTACCAATTGTCTCCACCTCTTACCTCAAACCTCCAGTGGTAGTGATGCAGATCCAACAAACACATCATCTTCCAAGTAATATCTTGCCAAAACAACCCAACGTTTGGCTTTAAAAAATTGTGTCCCTAGCTCACAAAGAAAAAGAAGCATAAATCGGCTTGATAGCTAAAGTTTCTTCTAAAGTTTTCTAGAAACTCTGTTCAACTGGTGCCCATCTCTCCCCGCCGTTTTTGATGAATCCCAGTCCATCTTCCCTACATGGAGAGTGGTGGAGGAGGTGGTTTGAACAACCTTGATTGATTTGGTGATATGATTCAACTGGAGTGCAGTCACGTGGTGGCTCACCCTATGCCCCCCTTCCCGCTCCATCTCCTGGTCGAGAATGACAACTCTCCTCTCACTGGCATCAGACATTCAACTGGATTCATTTGATCATTCTCTCCACCCTGTAGTCCCAGTTTTGTGGTACTTGCCTATCGTGACATCGTTGCAGGTTATCACTTCATTCACTGGAGCATTTTTTTTTTGTAGAGATATTTGCTAGTATTGTATGGCCGGTTCTCAGTTTTCTGAGAAAACGATGTTTGTAATTTTTCTGAATCAGTTAATGTTTTTCCAGCTATAGAGATGTCTTAGTCAGTGCATCAACTTCAGTTGGTGGCGTGTGTTCTGTCCCCACAGTTCCAGAGAGGCAGCCATGTCAGTGTTGGCTGGCAGTGGACAGTGTGGTGGGGTCAGTGGCTGTCACCTCTCTGCTGGCAGGCTCGGGGGTCCATTGAGGGCAACTACCATCTAGCACTGTACCGTTCCGTGAGTCCTCCCTAGTTTTGGGCTCAGAATGTACCGTTCTGTCTGTCACAAAACACGCACCATGTGAATCACTTCCCTTTGTAAACCGGTGTGGACCAATAAGCTCTTGACTTGCCGTCAAACAATGAAGCGAACAATAAAATAGAAACACTCGTATTCTAAGCACTATTATAGCCAAGCACAAATGCACCAGAGTGTACCCCGAGGCTTCATCTCTACTTCCAGGACCTCAGTCAGTCACTGGCTCCTGATTATGTCCATAGCGTTTATTGACAAATGAACGGTCAACTAACGTAACTTCACCTGTCTCTTTCAGTGGCCTCCGCAGCCATTCGTCAACTGGACCGCCTTCCCCTCCTTCCCTGACCGCTACCCACACTGTGATCTCCCTGGACCCACCACAGCACGCTGCAGTTTTTAGTCAAGCTCTCTCGCCTCTCAACCTGAAACCTCAGTCCCCTGATGCACTGCTGTCAATAGCCGTGGTAAGTTGACAAACCAGCACTAATGCCACTCCCTCACAACCATCGCTTGGTAAGAACGTACCACACACTCAGAGTCGGTTGAGGTTAAGAAGTATAGTGAGAGGAGGATTTCATGAGTGTTGTCTCAGGGAGGAGAGGGGGGGTATAGAGTTTGTGTCTGAGGGAGGGGATGTCGTGGTTTTGGGGGGGGTGGGGAAGGTGGGGGGAGGGAGGTGCAAGTTAGTGGGGTGTGAAGGGGAGGTAGTTGGGAGTGTGGAGGGGCGGAGAGGGGTGTGGGGGCGAGAAGGGTTGTGAGGTAGTGGGTGGTGAAGTGGGGGAGAGATAGGGGTGAATTAATGGGGGGGGAGTATGGGGTTGAGGAGCTGAGGGAGTGGGTGGTTTGTGGGGTGGATTGTTGTGGTGGGGGGGTCGAGTTTTTATGGGAGGGAGATGTGGGCGGGGGTGTTAGTGTTCTTTGTCATTCTGTATGCTTGGTCGATATTCTCGTTTCTCCTCTTATCGTTTCTTTCATCGTCTCCTTCTCTCTTCTCCTTCTGTTTACTCTGCTTACGTTTTGCTACTGGTGTATGTATATTGTGTCTCCCTCCAGGTGGTCCAGGTACCACCCTCCCTCTCATCCACTCCTGGAGCTCGTGATGTCCAACCCTTGTGTTGATCTCTTCCTTTCTCCCTTCCGTCCGCCCCCCCCTCTCATCAGCTCCTTCTGGGCGAACCGCCGGACGCCTCTGACTCCTTCCAGAGAACACCATCGACCTTCACCTTCAATAAACTCAACTACTGTGACTATAGACTTCCCCCGTCCCTTCACAATCACAAACTATGCGGTCACTCTTACCACCACCCAATAGAGCTGGCAACTCCGTAGCCACACTATCCTTCACCACACTCCAAGCAGGATGTGTATAGCTCATGTGATGTCACATGATTGATCACGTGACCATTGGCCCCGCCCCATGCAGCTCCAGACACCCGCCCATTAACGTCATGGCCAGCAGTGGACAATGGTAGTATTCTGTCTCCTGGGAACCCCCTCCAATTAGCAACGGAAATCATTATACAATATGTTCTGACCTTTGAACCCCAGCCACGCCCACCCAGTCACGGATGAATATTACAGATACCCAGGTCCTGGTGCTCGTTCCATCCCCTGACACTGCATACTCCTTCACTGTGGCGGCAGAGACCGTTTTGGTCGGTCCAGCGCAGCTCCCTGTGGTTCAAAGGTCGTATCCTCTCCCCCACCACCCGCCCGAGACTCCGCCCACTATCCCTGACGACGTCGCCATCACCTTGACAACCATCCCATCAATCTTCCAGTGATGAACACCTTCACTGTTCAGTTTTCACCCTAATACTGTATGGAGAAATGTGTGCAATCACAAATTTTTGTAGATTTGATTGATTGCTTGCTCTCAAAATCGTCCTGCCCACAAAATTTACTCTGATACTCTTTCATTATGACTTTTAGACGGACAAATTATTAGTCCTCACTATAAATGTCTCTCTCTCTCTCTCTGTCGCCAGTCATTTCTGGGTGGTGGCGGTCAGATTGGGTTCAGAGGACCCAGGTTTCCTGCAGAGCTCTCCAAGTGCCCACTTTACCTCCAGCCAGTCCCTCACCACCTACTCCGACGGTAAACTACTACTGTACTGGCAGTGGCTGCATCATACGTATGGAACATGCATTTCAAGCAAAACAGAGAAGTTTTGCAGATTTTCTTCCCTGTTCGACTAGTGGCTTCTGCCAACAAATTATGAAACATTTGCCAATGGTTTTCAAAAAACAGTTGAACAATTTATTAGCAAAAGTCCACAACTCCTCCAGGTCATCAATGCTATCTGTTTGTGTGCAGATATTCCACAGAACACTGGCTACATAGTCTCAGAGATCTCGGCCACTGTGTACAGCAGTGTGTCCTCCGAGGTGTTCCTCCTGGGAGACCACGACGAGACGATGGCCAGCAATGATTTCCCAGAGCAATACGTGAACGGACCTCTGGAGGAAGAGACAAGATACTCTGTCTTTGTCTGGGGCTTTATCCCTGCCATCCAGAACTCCTCTGTATGTTGGATATTTATCATCTGTTCCCTCATTTATCTCTCTCTCCTCCTCTCCTCCTCCTCCTCCTCCTCCTCTCCCTCCTCCTCCTCCTCCTCCTCTCTCCTTCCTCCTCCCTCCTCCTCCTCTCCTCCTCCTCCTCCCTCCTCCTCTCTCCTCCTCTCACATGGACAGGAGGGAGTAGCAAAAAGACAAACTCAGGAAGAAAGACAGTACAGAGTCTTCACCTCCAGCTCCTTCTCCCGCCTAATTCCACTGCCACTAGAGGTAAACCAGCATCTGGTATCAATATACACAGGCATCTCATCACCTGGTTACTCTCTGCACAGAGTCCCCCACTGATGACGGATTGTCAGCTGCTGCCATTGCTGGTATCACGATCGCAGGCCTCATTGCCTTCGTCTTGGTCTCCGTGGTCGTCATCATGGCAATTATCATAGCCAACATGTGGTACAGGAGAGTCAAGGACATTGGACCTCCTCCAATTCGCCAAGGGTCCAAGAGATTTGTGAGCTTACATATTTCTCTCTCTCTCTCTCTCTCCCTCTCTCTCTCTTCACAGCTCAATCTATATTCCTTTCGTATCTCCCCCCCCCTTCCCTCTTTCGGTAATTTCAGAAGGAGGAGAAGTCGGTGGTGACAGTGATGTTAAACCCAGGCACACGTCCAGACTCTGCACTCGACGAAGACACCACTCCAGGTCAGAATGGAACCACGTTTTGTTGGAATGTAATGATGTAATGATGATGTAATGTTTCAGACGACGTGAGACTACCAGTGTCGGTGGAGGACTTCCCAGAGCACGTCAGGAAACTCCACGTAAACAGTGACCACCCGTTCTCAGAGGAATATCAGGTGACTGTCACATGACCCAGTGTGCATTACCATGGAAACTGACTTTAACCCTTTCCTGACAGTTGATCAATATCAAGTCTCCCGGACTGCCCCATCTACAAGGCTCGGCTAATTGTAATGTCATGAAAAATAGATACGCCAACATCAATGCATGTGAGTTGATTCATTCCAACAGCAATGACCTCATCATTACATCATACCAATATCTAGACGATGAAACGAGGGTTCACCTGAACTTTATTCCCGGAATGGAAGGATCTGACTTTATCAATGCCAACTACATTGAGGTTAATTAGACGACTACTAATTAATTAGACATTTCACATTCTTCTTCCTTCTCGTTGCTCAGGGCTACCAGAAGAAGACTCTGTACATAGCAGCACAAGGTCCCCTCCCAAACACTGTCCACGACTTCTGGAGAATGGTGTGGGAGGAGGACTCCTGCTGCATCATCATGCTCACCAACATCAACGAGAAAGGACGAGTAAGCCCCTCCAATTAACTTCCATTTGTACGAGGAGACCAGGTAGTGATTGAGGACCTGTAGAGTGAGCGAAGGGTATAGACTTTGGTGAATTTACTGAGACTAGTCACAAACATACAAAATGTAATGAACTTGTCAATTGCATCTCCGTGGCTACGCATGAACTGAGAGTGGCTGATTTCAAAGATGGTTGTTTGTCTTTGTTTCATTCTGAAATGTGAATGTGACCAATTTCTCACCCCCTCCCCCTCTCTCCTGGCAGGTAAAATGTCACCAGTACTGGCCGGAGACAGGCAGTCTAGGTCTGGACGATATGACTGTCACCGTCATTGACACCCAGGATCTGGCCTACTACAGCATCAGGACATTCAGACTCTCCATGGTCTGTTGCCACCAGATACAGTGGAATAGTAGCTGTCACATGATTAGCTGAAAAACATAGACTCGTTCTTAGTGGCTAGAAATGGGTGTTGTTGCATTGTGGCAGCTAATGTACTGGTCACTGCTGTGCATTATATGTAGTAAATAAGGGAGCGAATTTCATCTCCCTCTCTCTCCCTCCCTCTCTCTCTCTCCCTCTCTCCCTCTCCCTCTCTTCTCCACCCAGGGTACAGACAGGAGAGAGGTGAAGCAGTTCCACTACACCGGGTGGCCTGATTTCGGAGTCCCTGATCACCCTCACCCGGTCCTCTCGTTCATCAGACGACTCAACAACTTCAAGAGGACTACGCAGGGCCCCGACGTCGTCCACTGCAGGTGAGAGTGTGCAGCAAGAAATGGAGGGAGGGGCAGCTTTTTCTACTTCCTACATCTCACCTCATCATTACATGATATAGGGGCAGAATAGGGAAATAATTATGTCAGTTGAATAAGGGCCGCAACATCTTTGCAATTACACCTAGACACATTAATTAACTCGTACAAAACTGTGATAATTAAGAAGTCTTTCTAACTCTACTAAACTTCTATTTCTCACATTCTCTGTAAAGTGCTGGAGTAGGCAGGACAGGAACGCTGATCACCATCCAGGCCATGATGAAGGCGATTGAAGACGAAGGCCAAAGTCGACATTTTCAATTCCATCCTGGGAATGAGGAGACAGCGCAGCTATATGGTCCAGACAGAGGTACGCTATCACATGGTGATCATGTGACTCACGAGTGGTCATGTGACACTCACATGACTCTCTGACCCCCCACAGAGGCAGTATATCTTCATTCACGACTCAGTGATGGAGGTGATAAAGATGGGGCACACGGAAGTGTCGAGTCAGAGCTTGCGACGGACCCTCAAACAGCTGCAGGCACAGGACCCACAGACTGAGACCAGCCGACTGGAGGAAGAATACCTGGTCAGGAGTCCTATACTTCCCTTAACACACCACCAACTTGTCCCTCGATCTCCCCTCCCCAGAGGCTCAACAGTCTGGTGGCAGTAGATGACTCCATGTTCAGCTACGCCAATAACAGCCTCAACCAACCAAAGAACAGAGACCCAAAGATATTACCTCGTGAGCCACTCTTTTGCCCAGTCTTCTAGACATTTACTGTTTGTTTGTTGTTGTTGTTGTTGTTGTTTAGTTGACATGTATCGAGTGAGGCTGATAATGGCCCCTGGTTCCAGTTGCTCTGACTACATAAACGCCAGCTATGTCGATGTAAGTACTCACTTTAGGAGACAAATATTCCTATTTTTGAAGACTTGGTCACAACTAAGACTGTTCCAAAATGTTGAAACTCTCCTCATGTGCTGTCCAATATTTGAAAATGTCTTGCCAGCACCTCTTTCTCCTTCCCTCAGGGTTATCAGCACAGGCACCAGTACATCCTGACCCAGGGTCCACTGCAGTCAACTGTGGATGACTTCTGGAGGATGATGTGGGAGCACAATGTCTCCTGTGTCCTCATGCTGTGTCAGATCGAGGAGAAAGGGCAGGTAGAACACCGAGTCTCACAGCAGCCACACTTTGCAAACGTCACCAGAAGCACACAAGTCACAACAGGCACACTAGGCACAGAAAGCACAGCGTCACGTGGTATATAGATGAAGCCCATTGCCTGTTCCCTTGGTGTGATGTGCAGGAGATGTGTGTCCAATATTGGTCCAAGGAAGGACTGAAGCAGCATGGAGATCTGTTTGTGGAGCTGACTCAGGAGACCAACTTCACCCACTATACAATGAGAGAACTCTCTCTCACCAACACAAAGGTAGAACTACAAGAAACCATCTCACTCAACAATACCTAATATGCTGATTAGAGTAAAGAATTAGAATGTTTCAGTCTTCAGACTTTTGTAAGCCTGACTGAAATGCATGTCACGGTGTATGGGGGTCAAGGTCTATGCAAAGGTTCACATCTCCTCTCCCCATTTCTTCGACTCAGGTGAACGAGAGTAGGGTACTGAGGCACTACCAGTACGTGGAGTGGACGGAAGACACATCTCCTCCTAACAGTACAGCTGTCATTGATCTCATTGGAGTCCTGCAGAAGGCTCAACATCAGAACGGCGGGGGACCCATCGTACTCCATGACAGGTGTTTGTTCACTATCTGCAGTTAACTTTCTTACTTGATCTTATCAAACACTCACCTTTGATAAGGCGAGATAGTCTCAATAATACTCTGTCCCTGACCACCCTATGCAGTACCACCATTGGTAGAGCTGGGACGTTCTGTGTCCTCAGCAGTGTGCTGGAGCAGCTGAAGGTGGAGGGAGTTGTCGACATTTTCTTCTTCGTCCATGCCCTCCGCCAGCAGCAACCTGGACTGGTTGCCACTTTTGTGAGTCCTGCCTCTTCCTTTTTCAAGTCCCCTCTTCTCTTGTTGAATGTTTATAACCTCCAATTATCATGTATCCAGCAAAATGGTGGTGATATATACCCCTATGTTTTTAAAGCACCACTGGCTAGCATCTCTCTCTCTCTCTCTCTCTCTCTCCCTCCCTCTCTCTCTCTCTCTCTCTCTCTCTCTCTCTCTCTCTCTCTCTCTCCTCTCTCTCTCTCTTCTCTCTCTCTCTCTCTCTCTCTCTCTCTCTCTCTCTCTCTTCTCTCTCTCTCTCTCTCTCTCTCTCTCTCTCATGCTAACAGGAGCAGTACAAGTTCTGCTATTCCTCCGTCCTAGAGTTCCTCGTTTCCTTTGAACTCTACTCAAATTTTGACTGACCGACCTCAATTTTTCACCAGCAGCTATATGTATTTTTTGAGTGTTTTTATCATCATCTTTTATAAAAATTTTGTAAATGTTCCGTCAGATCATTGTGGGATTGTAGGGTCTTTGATAATATAAAAATGTTATGATTGCGACAGAGAGTTGAAACTGGAAGTCAATGAGAGGGAGGGTAAAGTCTTAGTGAAGAAAGAGAAGTCATTTGTCAACTGGCACAGGCTTTCCTTTAGCCACTGGAGAGAGGGGGGGAGAGAGAGAGAGAATGACCATTGGCCTCCATTGCTGAACCAACGTACATATCTTCTGCTGGAACTGAGACCTCTTCTTGTTGTAGAGATGCCAGTGCTGCAGCTGCTGCTCCTCTATAAACTTGGCACACTGGGCGTAGGCCAACTCTCGCCTGAAGAACTCCGACTGGAGGAGACCGAGGAAATGGAGACATTGGGGATACCTGTGGAGGAGGTCAGAGGTCAAACGTTCTAGTGAGGTGGGAGAGAGAAGGGCCTACTTGATGAACTTGGCGTACTCCTGTTGTCTCCAGTACTGTAGGTAGCTGAGGTAGTTGATGAACTCTGGCTCCTTCAGATAGCCCTGCTGAGCTAGGACTGCGAGAGGACAGAGAGGTGACTGTGATATCTATTACAGCTGTCGTCTGGGGTCACGTGACACACGTACAATTGAGGTAGTGAGGGTTGGCGAGACACTGGACGAACTCGAGCTCAGTCTGAAACCTCAGTCTCTCAGGATCTTCCTTCACCTCTCCACCGGCAGCTGCAGGGACAAGATACACATCAGACTGAGTCTCGTGGTGGTCACTACGACAGTATATACTCACCAGCAGAGCCAGCATTTGCAGCCATCTCGATTGAGTGGGTACAAAGGTCAATGCGAGGAGGTGAAAGTTCACGAGCTCGTCAGCTGGTATCATGTCGGTGGTGTCGCAGAGCTCCCGAGCCGTTCGTCTCCTCGCCCCGAGCCTCGCCTCGCTGCGAGAGAGACCAGGACCCCGCAAAACCACGGGGGACGCCGGGGAATATTCGGGAAGGCCGTCGTCACTGGAGGAAAGAGCCAATCCAAGGTCCTCTCCTCGCCTGCCAATGGAATTGCTCATATAGAGGGTAACAATCGACGTATTAGTGACTGATCACGTGTAGAGTCACGTGATTCCCACAGTACTGACTCTAAAGCCAGAGTACAAGGAGGACTACCTGAAGCTGGCGTAAGGAGGGAGTGAAATGGGTGTGGTCTCACCATTCTCGTCCCGCCTCCTGCAGGGCGGAGCACATTCCTCAGCTGATGGAGAACAGAGATATCCCGATCAGTCTCGTTGGTGCCTGGACCACTCTCCTGGGGAAGAAGACCAACACTGCCAGTGAGTTCTCTAATGAGACTGCCGTTATGTGGATGTTCTCACTGTATTGTCCAGCACACATCTGGGAGTACGAGTGTTTCAATGATGTCGCTCAATCTGTCGAGAAGATGGCAACAGACAAGGTTTGCGCATTTCTTAAAGGACACCCCTGAAATGAGGACACCTCTCCAATAATGACACACCTTATCTTTCCCCAAGAACAGTTCTTGCATGCATTTCCAATCCCTGAAATGAGACATCTCACTAATGGACACTTCTGGTAATCTCTCCATCCCTCCCTCCCTCCCTCCCTCGTCCCTCCCTAGTCGTGGCAAGAGTTCACGAGAGCCGGGGCAAAATTCCTCCACAGCACCTGTAACCAGATTGTCCTACCCTTCACCTTCTTCCAGTCCTCTACTGGGGAGACCACACCCACTCAGGGCGGGCAGAGGAGAGTGTTTGAAATGAGGTCTTACGAACTGAAGGTTTGCCTGAACTATCAAATCTCACCTCACATTCTCTTCTACTCTCTCTCTCTCCTTCTTCCTTCAGCCTGGAAGCATGATTGAATGGGGACAAGAGTGGTAAGCATAATATAGTATAGACTTTTGGTGTTGCTGGCATGTATGTTTCGATGTTTGAAGTGTGTGTGTGGGTGTGTTCTGCTTGTGATAAAGTTCAATCTACGAAGAATAAATATTCTACCATTCTCTGAACCACAATTCTCCCTCATGTGCACAGGGCCAAGGGAATTCAGTATAGAAGAGAGGAGGCAGTCGGTGGTTGGTTTTCTCAGATTGGCCACATGCACTCTGTCCATCACCTCTGGGGTCTGTCTCTCCTTCCTTCCCTCCCTCCCCCTTAGTGTACACCTGTCTGTCTGTCTGTCTGTGTCTGTGCAGTGTACAAGAGTCTCCAGGATAGAGATGAAACAAGACAGAGTGCCTGGGCCTTCCCCGGCTGGGACGAATGTGTCAGGAGAACAGGTACATACACCTCTCTTTACCCCTGCATCTGATGCAGCTGCACTGCCCTCCTCAGTTCCCCTGATACATGAGATGGAGTCCTCAATTCTCCTTCCCACTGCCTACTCTCCACTGCAGTAGACCACACACCACTGACTACTAGTGATCCTATTCCCCCCACACTTTTTGTTTTTTCACACAATTATTGTATGATTACGTTTTTGAATCGATTTTGAGGTAATCGATCAGCACGTTGAGTCCAATGGTAGGACCAAATATGGTTAACCAACTAAGCAGATAGTTCTTTATGTCTCTGTCTCCTCTTTCATGTTTGTTTGCTGTGAGTATGGTTGCCATGACGTTGGAGGTGTGGCAGGGGTGTAAGTGGTAAAATGGCCGACCAAATATTGGATGCTCCTGTTGTGTGACCGACTCCCATTCCATTCCAGAATCCCTGGTGACATGGAATGGAGACAGGAACTTCCAGATCTCCTTCAGTGGAACTAGTCTCCCGGAATGGAACGTGGCCGTGAAGAACAGAACGGGGACTTGGTAGGACGGACTGTAGATCACGTGATACTCGAACTGCACCGTCTTCTCAGACAATTTTCCGGTCCCCCGACAATGGAGCGTCGCAGGGTCCTCGTCCTCGATATTCTCCGGTTCCCCCACATCTCGCGGGGTCTCGGGGTCCACCGGGGACTCTTCTGCGATAGCCACGCAAATCCTTTTGACTAGGAATGCCGTCTCCTCGGGCCCGTCAGTCTGTCTCACGTGACGCAGCTCCCAGCCGTCTCCCAGTCTGTCCGACATGACCACCAGGTCTCTGGCGTTCCGCACGAACTCTTCGTACGTCAGCAAACCGGTCGCCATCCCCTCTCGAGCCACGCCCACTTTCACCCACGTGGGTGTTGGTGTGCATTATTTGGAGTTTGAAGACGAGATGGCGGAGAACTCGAATGAACCTGGTACTTCTAAAGTAGAGCACACGGAAGAAGTGGGGGAAGATGAGGTGGAGGAAGAAGAAGAAGAGTTTCTTCCTGGTTATCAGACTATGCAAGAATACTCTGAGGTATTTCTAGGGTGCACAGGACCCATGAAACATGTTGTTCAACCAAATATAACGATAGCTAAGATTGTCTGTCTGTGTGACCACCTCAGGCTCTGCTGAAGGAAGTGGTGAAGGCGACAAAGGCGGCCAACTCTCTCCCAGGGGAAGGAGATGATTTCGACTACTACTGCAGCTTCCCTGGCTTCCGAACCTTCTGCTCCAAGATGGAGTCAAGGGTCACGCGGAGGTGGGTGCGGCTTTTGTTAATTTTATGTTTTTGTTGATAGTGTGATGTCATTGTTGTCCAATAGCATCAGTCGATTGATTCGGCATCAGTCGTTGCCGTGTTACTGGCCACCGCCTCCTGCCCAAGCTCCACCCACTTCAGGTCAGGGAGAGGAGGCGGGGCTTGTTGCCATGGTAGAAGAGCGGATGGAAGCCATCATTGAGGCCAACGATGTCCTCTTAGAGAGAGTGGTGAGTGGCAAAGACTTATCCCATTGCCATTTTGCATGCTAGCACAAGTATATGCAAACAGTTTAGTCCACTTTCCAATGTCACTCCTGTTTGAGGGTTGATTTTGCACTGAACTCTCCAGCTATAGTGTTCAGGATGTTTTCTTCCCCTCACATGCTCACCTAAATCTGTGGTGTGTGTGGTCTTCCTTCCCTCAGGGAGTGTTGATGGACGAGGCGTGTGGATTGAGGAAGAAGAGGGAGGAGGAGGAGGCTGTTCTTCTGACCGCTCCACTCCACCAGGGGACGGCAGAAGTGGCCTCCTGGAACGACATCAAGGTGACAGATTTCACTCCTTCCTGTTTGAAACATGCCGGTGTATTAGTGTATGCTGAAAGTAGCTTCAGTCATATGTTTCCAGCAGTTATAGAAAATACCTGCATTTGCTGTATCCCTCGCTACTCACTGTACAGTGTAGTTTTGGTTCGTAGGTCATTGTGTTTGTGTTGTGTGCGCTCTAAATTCTCTTCTTCTTCGTCTGCATTTAGAGTTCTGGGAAGAAAAGCAAGTATAGTTTCATGGCGTCGCGGAATGTGCCACGCCCCCAGGTCCGGTTCCGAGACCAGGTCGACAACGGTAACTCTGTCTTCGTTCCACTCCTCCGCAGCAAACCCAACGCCAGACAACCCCTCCCCAGCGGTAGGTCACACGACGATCACCTGACATCATGTGATCCCTCCCCTCAGTCTACCAGAGACTGCAGAACCCACAGTCACTGAATGCTCTCATAGCCAACACCAAGGAGTGGGCCCTCGTCAAGGAAAAGTGAGTGCTTCTTAAAAGTTTGCGTTCTTAATTTGCGGAAATCCTCAAAAAAAATCCTCAGTATGCAAAAATTGCTCCACACACAGATTACCAACGTCAAAAACCTCTCAGTCTACACAAATTTCACCTCCAAAATGTCTTCCTCTCCTTCTCTCTCCCTCTTAACCATGTGGTTCTCTAACATTGCTCCAGGTACACACATCCGTATCGATTTGAACTTGAGAATTTCGTTCCCACTGAGGCCCAGCTCCAGCTACACGAATCACAGGTCAGGTACTGTGATGTAATCATTACATCACCGGTATTATACGTCAGACGATGATGTCGTTGTGATGTCACAGGCTCCGGGGAGTCTGGACGAGGTTCCGTATCAGTTCATCAGTGGAGAGGAAGAGTTGGAGTGTCTGGTGACCGAACTGTCTCAGTGTTCTGAGTTTGCCATTGACCTGGAGGTTTGTAGCGTATGGTTCTTTTTTGGACTATATACCTGCCAGCACTCCTTTCACACATCATACCTGTTCTCTGACTGCAAAGACCTTTATATACCATCACCATGGAAATTTGAAACTAACAAACATTTTGAGTCCACCTGTACGTAATGTAGATACAGAAAGTTGGACTAAAAACGAAGGTTTGCCATTCATTTGAAGACAGTACCAAAAGAACCACACCTTGAAGTGCTGAAAATGTCACATGTACTAAACTTCAACGTCCATTCTCCTTTTCTCTTCTCTCTCTCTCTCTCTCTCTCTCTCTCTGGGTATACAGAACCATTCCTACAGATCGTTTCAAGGGTTTGTGTGTCTGATGCAAATCTCGACTCGTAACCATGACTACATCATCGACACCCTGGAATTGCGACATCTCATGTATCGCCTCCTTGACCCCTTCACTGACCCCCGCATCGTGAAGGTGACCACACCCCTCTTCTCACACTGGTCATGTGACCTAGTCACCTGACATCAGGTGATGCACGGAGCGGACTGGGACATTCCGTGGCTACAGAGGGACTTTGGACTCTACGTGGTAAACCTGTTTGACACCGGTGTGGCGAGTCATGTGCTGCAGCTGCCCAAACACTCGCTGGCCTTCCTCCTCCAGTACTGCTGTGGAGTGGAGGCTGACAAGCAGTACCAACTGGCCGACTGGAGAATCAGGTGACCTCTCTCTCCTCTTCCTTCTTCTGGTTACATACACCTTTTTATTCATTCCACCAACAATTTTATCTCTTTCTCTCTCTTTCCCCTCTCTCCCTCTTCTATCAAATACCCTCCAATAAGTGTTTTAACCATTTCCTTCAGGAACATGACTACAATTTAACGCGCAGTTTACTTCCTTCATCCACGAGACAAAATATGACATTCAGAAACCAGAATCACTCATTCTTTCATCTTGTCTGTAGGCCCCTCCCTGCGGAGATGGAGAAATATGCACGTGAAGACACCCACTACCTCCTCTATATCTACGACAGGATGAGGAACGAGCTGATCAGACGGAAGAGAGAGAACCAGGACCCCCTGCGGACCACACTCAGCAGGAGCAAGGACGTTTGCCTCAAAACATACCAGAAACCAACGTTTCGCGAAGACTCTTACTTGAGGCTGTACTACAAACACAAACGACACTTCAACTCGCAACAGGTGTAGTGGCAAAGGTCAGGTGAGTGTCATGTGATTGTCACATGATCTCTCCTCCATTCAGCTCCACTGTCTGAAGTTGCTGTACAAATGGAGGGATCGCGTGGCTAGAGATGAAGATGAGAACACTGGGTAAGCGACTGCTCTGCATTAGGCTATTCTACACACGTGTAAAAATAATTATTAACTTTCAGAGTTTATTCCTGTTACGTAATTCTCGTAACATGCAGTGTGCAAACACACTGGGAGTCATTTTGAGCAAACCAATGTGGTAATGTAATCCTACACTTCTCTCTCCCCTATCCTCCACTCCATCTTTACCACTCATTCCCTCCCTGCCTACACTCTCCCTGTCCTAGCTACGTCCTCCCGAACCACATGCTGTTCCAGATAGCGGAGCAGCTGCCACGAGAGGCGCAGGGAGTCCTGGCCTGCTGCACCCCCGTCCCTCCTCTCCTCAGACAACAGCTGCAAGAGGTCTTTATCCTGGTTCAGGAGGCCAGGGAAACACCTCCAACCCAGAAGGTATGGCTGACCAGGTTTTTGTCTTTCTCATTAGCTCGGACATAAATATTATTAATTAATCCGCAAAGTATTCTTGGAAACGTTTGAGCGTTAGAAAGCAGTTTCAGGTGTCTGGTAAATGTTCTGGTTTTTGTTCTGTAGCTACCGAAGTTGAGGGTTCCCGTGGAGACCACACCCCCTACCACACCCATTTCCACGGCAATCGATGCACCACAGACACAAAACACGCCTCACTCTGGTATGTACACCACACGCCCCTCTGTTTTATGTAGCATCTCTCTCTCTCTCTCTCTCTCTCTACAGAGCCAGTGGTGACTGTGGTGAACCCAAAGCCTCATCTAGTGCAGTTGACTGGACCTCCAGTCGCCTCTGCTCCTACCTCCATGTCTGCCATTGAGGTAACCCCTGAGAAAGATAAGGAGAGGTTGATTGCAGTTGAAAAAGTGTCTGAAAGAAGGACACGACTCACTTGCTTATAGTATTATACTATATACCTCCAAATAAGTCTGCCGCTGAACAATGGACACTTTCAATGCCTCCCATATTCAGAGGTTTCACTCTAAATCTCTATTTGTCGTGTTTCTCTCTCTCTCTCTCTCTCTCTCTCTCTCTCCTCAGAGGGCAGTTCCGGAAGTGAGTGAGCTAGTGAGGCAGCAGTTGAGGAAGATTCAGAGCTCTTTCCCCGACATCTTGTCTCAGTTCATGGAGCCCTCCTCCACCTCTGCACCTCCACTTGCAGTTCCTCCACCTATGGTGACCACTGCACCAGTGATTACACCAGCCAAGGGACAGGAGAGAGGGTCAGCTGGTTGCAGTGGTGTGGAGGAGAGAGAGACTGCAACTCCTACTGACAGGTCTGCATCACTCTGAACATCTGTACTGTAACATGTAGTGCGAAAACCGGGAGATGGTCTATTTGTATATGTTTACCTCTGAATACTCCTGGGAAGGCCTGTTATGTAAGGGAACTGAGTTTTTCGTGTAAAATGTTCAAGTTTATTTACAGAACAGTAGATTAAATGCAATTTAACCAGTTATGTGAATGTTCTATGGGATTATGCTCTCCCCCTCTCTCTATTCAGTTGTGCTCCAGTCTCTAACATTGGTACACCCAACACGACAGTCCCACGTCATACAACAGAGGGAGGAGGAGGAGCAAAGACGACAGCAAACGGAGGGAAAACGAAGAAGAAGAGGAAGGTCTCTGCCAGGGAACTGGTAGGTGGACCTGGCTACAACTGACTGAGACTGCAGTGTCAACTGGTGTGCAGGGGAGAGGGGGCAAACGCCGTAAGGTGTCACCTCCAGAGGAGGGGGAACTGCGGGACGAGGAGGAGGAGGAGGAGGGGAGAGGGGCGGGGAAGAAGATAATAAAGTTGACAGAGAAAGACTTCAAGGAGGATGAATTTACTCCGTTTAGCTATGGCGGAGTTGACTTTGCTGACTACACTAAAGCAACCCCTGGTACAAAGTTTCTATATACATTTTATTATGTGTTCACGGTACTTGTGGTGAGCACAACTAACTGTTACATGTGTACATGCTCTGTCTCACCAGATCCAGCCCATCCCCCACTGGTGGTGTTCCGGCCTCAGTCAGCCAGTGGAGGGAAGAAAGGAAGGGGCGGGGCAAGGTCAAAGGTCATCATGAGATCAGGCGATAAGTCACTGACACACAGTGACACTACCAGACATCAGACCCAGTGAGTCAGCCCCTCTCTGATTAGCCATTATCCCCTCTCCCTCCCTCTTCTTCCTCTCATCTATAGCTCCCAACGTTTATGGCCAAAAGGGAATTGAAAAACGTTCACATTATCTTATACAAAATGTATACACCAGCTTTATAAAAATAAGTTCTTGGGTTTTACAAATTTCTAGGCTTTAGTTTCAAGAAAAGTCCGTTCTTTGGTCGAAGAATAATTTGGAGATCTTTCTGCGGTGGTTTTTCGGGGTCAAGGGTCAACTCAAAGTGACGTAATATCATGCTGAGTGCTGCTTTCATTTCATTCATGGCAAATTCCTGTCCAATGCAGTTCCTGAGGGGTTAAAGTGGGGTAGAGAGGGGTTAAAATGTCAGTGGGGAGTTATGTAACTAACCGTGGACCAGCAGCAAATGGGATTAGTGCATGGGGATTCCTGTCCCTGGAATTCTCAGGAGTAAACCTCAGTGGGTCAAATTCCTGCAGAGCATTAGTGCGTTTTAAACCGGGACAGTGTCCCAATATCGACCCGGATTACCTCGGGGTTGTCCCAGATATCGGGGCAGCGGTGGACGGCGTAGGGGACGATGGCGACCCTGGTCCCGGCGGGGAAGCTCCTCCCATCAATCAGGGTCTCCTTCTCCAGCATGCGGCCGTGGGAGGACACTGGGGGGTACAGTCGCAGACTCTCCTTGATGCAGTATTTGAGATACGTCAGCTGTCGCAGGTCCTCCCTGCATGCATGGGGGACTAATGCACACATATTATACCAGTGAGCTCCTATATACCAGTCCATTTTATCCTTCTCATTGAGAACGGCGTCCACCTCTCTGCGACACATCTCCTGGTGCTCAGGGTGGCGAGCCAGGTTGTAGAGAGCCCACACTATCCCTGAAGCTGTCGTGTCGTGGCCTTCAAACATAAATGTGTCCACTTCAGCTCTTATTTCCTCGTCCGTTAGACCACTTCCTTCTTCATCCTAATATACAGAAAATTACATATGTGAACGCATCAAGTAAAAATAGGGTGTTTGCCACATTATAATGTTTCCCTGCATGGCACGAGCCATACACGGGCGGAGGGGAAATCCCTCACGTAACCCCCATTTTTACTTGATGCGCTCACATAATATTGTATTTATCCCTTCATTCCTCCACTCGAGCTCACCCTTGCTTCCAGTAGAATGTCAATAAAGTCAAGATACTTGCGTTTGTTAGTCGACTCTTTTTCCGTCCCATTTATCTGAAGACAATACACGCATGTTCCTGCTATAGATAGTATCTATGAGAGGGATAGTAGTACCTTCAAGTCCTCCAGAGCCTTGCGCCGTTGCTGGACGACGTCCCGAGAGAACTCGTGGACTGTCTTACAGGCTCTTCTGTACCTGGACCCATCAGGCATCAGGGCATACACCCAGTCATAGTAGGCAGGGAAAAACCTTTAGGAGAGAGAGAGAGAGAGGTGACTGCAATACAGGGGGTTAAGGCAGAGAGGCTTTTGCAGTGCGTGTGCGTGCGTGAGGGAGTGGGGGTGGCAAAATCAGAGAGTAAGGGAGACAGGTGCTCACAGAATTCTTCTGGTGGTGAGGGTGGAGAGGTCAAAGACAGACTTGATGTAAGGGTCGTGTGTCCTGCAGGGAGTGAGGATGAAGGGAGAGGAGAGATAGAGAGAGAGACTGACTTGTTGGTCTGGCAGTGGCTGTCGTAGCTGCAGGTGCAGCGGAGCATGACATCCAGTGTCAGGAGACTGATGGAGGGAAACACATTGAACGACTCGCCCTCTGGTACCTTAGACCACTCCCCCTGCGGAACACACATTCCAGTAACAGACCCTGGTGTGCCTTCCAATGCACAAAACATGGAGGTCTCCACAGTGTGAGGGGTTTTCAGATATACACACAGGAGAGGGTTCTAACAGCCCCGTCCATACAATGGAAGTACAAACACCTCTGTCACACACAATGGGCCAACTACAGTCATGTGATGTCGCAGCCTACATAGTAATTATTATGTAGGTACATATATATATACCACTAGAGTTCTTGAGCAGTCGGTAAAGACAGGAGCGTAAGGTCGTAGGATGTCAAAGTGAAATGCGGGAGTGAGGAGTCTTCGTGACCTGGCCCACCTGGCTCCATTTGCTACCAGCAGACCTCTCCCTAGAGACAGAGAGAGAGGAGAGATGTGCGAGGTGGCCTAATTGAAGGTACCCTCACCAAGCCAGGGTCTGAGAGCATTGTAGATCATATCTGACTTTGGATCTGCAGATGAAACACTACATTCTCAATGGAACATGGGGCAGTGGGGGCGGGAGACCTCCTCTGAGGACGATCTTGCAGGTGTCTGGGTGGAGACAGACCAGCATGTACCACATCGGACCCATCACCATCTTGGCTGACTTCCATCCACGCTCTACGGACAGCCCTGTGAACCAGTCCAGGGCACCTCCCATGTCACCCAGTATCTGGTGTATTACAGAGATTCAACCAGCAGTTGCAGAGCCGTTTTCACTGTGTTTGCAAGCTAATGCTGAAGCTCTATTGTGGACCTCGTATCTTAGCTACGTACCTTGGGGGTGTGACCGAGCAGCCAGTGTTGACCGTCTTGGTCTGTGGGGACTCGCCGGAACGCCAGGTACTGGGCGACTGCCCCCCACAGACGCGGGCCAAGCAGAGCTAGCAGGCATGCTAGGACTGTCGTGACCAGCACTGAGGACCAGGAACAGCAGTCAGGCAACTGCAGAACCATTCTTCTAGCTTCTGCATGAGTGTCTCCGAGCAACCAGACAACTGCGCATGCGCATTCACAAAAAAGCCCCCGAACAAACTCATTGTGTGTTTTCCGATAGCTCCATGTGACTGTATACAGCAGCACACAATGGCGGTTCAATACCATATATAGCTGGAAAAAACCTTTGCCACGGTTGCATGGTGAAAATAGTAACGGCTTTATAGTCACACAAAAGGACAGACTGAGAGCAGGGGACAATATAAATACAGCTATTTATAGAATATATCCAGTGATAAAGTGGTGATAAAATGGTGGACTCTGTGTTTATATAACTAAGAACAAGACGCACAACAGAGATCTCTCAAATAGTCCACGTGGCAGAGTCGTAATCTGACAATAATACCGCACGAGGTCCTAGCACGGTCCACGCAGACTGGTGGCTCACAAGGATCACCACGGCAACGTCTGCTCTCGGCTGGCTTCTGCTTGTCTGCGGTGCAGTATGGAGACTCAGAGACAACTGTGCCGTTCTTGTGTCGACACGTAACCACTCGGATCTGTGAGCCATCCTCACCACACTCAGCATCACACTGTGTGGAGGAGATGTACATGTATTGTCACGTACACTTTGCTGCATTACAGAGAGAGATGTGGAGAGAGAGAGAAAGGGAAGGACAGGTGAAGGAAGAGAGAGGAGAGGGAAATGTACCGCTGTCCAGTCTTCGTTGACCCACTCAAAATTGAAGCAAGGCTCAGCTGAGCAGACTTCTCTCGTGGTGGGTTTCTCTCCTCCACACCTCTCTTCCTCCACCCCCCTGCTCCTCCCTCGGCTGTGTCGCTGCTCACAGACCACTGCTCTCTCCCTCACACCCTCCCCACACCCAACGTCACACCTTCCCCATTCTCCCTCCACCCACACGTAGCCACACCCATCCAGGGAGCAACTGGAGCTGTCTGTCGGCTTGTCTTCCTCGTCACACCACCTCTCCTCCACCACTGACTGATTGTTCAGCAGAGTGCACTCTACTCTCCTCGTCTTCCTCCCTTCATCACAGTGGGAAATTGCAGAGTCTTCATCGTCCTCACATACTCCCCAGTCTCCCACTGTCCACTCAAACCTACACTCCTCCTCAGAACAGACAGACACACTCGCCGGTTCAACCCCGGCATGCTCGCTGCAGAACGCCACGTCGACCGTGGATTCATTGTTAGCGAGAAGACAAGAAACGAGTCTCTCTCTATGTCCTCCTCCACACACGGCACTGCAGTCACTCCACTCGCTCCTCTGCCACACAAACAGACACTCTCTCTCTGAGTAACAAGTCCGCTCAGCTCTGGGTCGGGAGTCTGGCGCACAGAGTTCATCGCTCACTGTCGTCTCGTTGTTGAGGAGGAGGAGGAGGCAAGACACACCTCGAGTTGACGTCCCGTGTCCACAAGTATTGCTGCAGTTGGTCCACGGCTCAGAGGCCCAGGTGTAGACACACCCACTGTCGTCATGGCAACCAGAAGTGTCGGCAGGTTGGGAATCTCTCAAGCAGTGGGTTCGGTCAACTCGTGTGTTGTTGTTTATCAAGTAGCACATGACTTCTCTGGATCGGGTTCCGTGTCCGCATTCCGAACTGCACGAGGTCCAGTTCCCATGCCACCAGGAGTAGACACACCCCTCGTCGGAATGGCATGGGGACCGTGTCTCTGGCCTGGACTGGGGACAGAAAGCATCGTCGACTGCGGTGTCATTGTTGGTGAGAAGACAGAGCGTGTCTCTCCTCCTCTCTCCCCAGCCACAGTCTGAGCCACATTCACCCCATGACGAGGTCCTCCAGACAAACACACACCCACTCTCCCTATAGCAGTCACTGTGGGGGCGTGGCCTCGTCCCTGGGTCACATCTAACCTCCTCCACCGTAGTCCCATTGTTTGTGAGGACACAGGAGATGACTCTAGACCTGCTGCCAACTCCACACTCTGCAGAACACTCGCCCCAGTCTCCAGTGACCCATTCGAAACTGCATCCGTCCTCCGAATAACAGGAAGTGTGGGGAGCTGGAAGTACAGTGGAGTTTCCCTGGCAGTGAGTGGCAGAAACGATGCTCCCATTGCTGGCCAGGATGCAAGACACACGTCTTCCTCTCTGTCCCTCACCACACTGAGACGAACAGTCTCCCCACTCCCCCATCTCCCAGGTGAACACACACCCACTCTCAGAGTAGCAGTGGCGTGAACTGCGAGGTCTGGGTGTTTCTACACAACGCTCCGGGCTCACCGCAGTGTGCGTGTTGACCAGAACGCAGGAGACGTCTCTCTCCCTCTCTCCCTCGCCGCATGTAGAGCTGCATTCCCCCCACTCCCCCGCCTCCCACTGGTAGACACAGTTTACATCTGACCCACAATCCATTTTCAGTTGTGGAGCATTTCCATCGTCACAGTATCTGTCTTGTACGATCGTTTGGTTGCTTGTTAGAGTGCAGTGAACGGTACGAGTCTTTTCCCCGACACCGCACGTAGTATTGCAATCACTCCAGGGGCTCACTCTCCATTCGTATTCACATCCTTCGTTTGTGAAGCAGAGCTCTTCCACTAGAGGTTTTGTCGAGAGGTCACAGAGGTCGTCTCTAACGACGATACCCGTGTTGCTCACAGCACACTCCACCCTCCTCCTCCTCACCCCCTCCCCACAAACACCCTCACACCTTCCCCACTCTCCCTTTCTCCACTCGTGACCCACTTCAAATATCGACGCGTTACCCAGGGGCACCCCGGCAGAGTACTGTATACTGAGATTCCTCGAGTTTGCGATGATGAAAATAGTCACGTCTTCCTTCACCACTCCCGTAGTGCGCAGACATTCGATGTCAGCATCTGGTCTCTCGTACCACCATTTTGCCCCAGCGAACCAGTAGCTGTCGAGATCTCCTTCCTTTACCCTGTAGTTCCCGTTGAAATTCTCTCGTGCTGTGGTGGCCGCGAGGTAGAGGTTGTCCGTTTGGTGAATCTCTGAGATTTTGACTTGCCCGGAGCCTTGTGGGATGGTCACAGCTCTGTAGTAGGTGTAGCCACCTAATGAGGGAGGGGTGGGCAACACCCGTGTTACTATATCACATCAAACACTACACGTGATCGTGGAGTTTGACAACTGAACGATTGATAGTCAGACGAAGCCGTAAAGTGCTGGCTATAAACTTGCAGGCATGCATCCCTTCCAGTTATGACTAATTTGAATGTCAACTCTCTGATCACGTCAAGTTTGAGTCAAGACAAACTCATCAACTACGGGCTAAAAACCAATTTAGTACGATAGAGTCCAACTTACTGGTGGTGGTTCCTCTACTGCTGGTGAGTTCGGGGATGGTGTAGGTGTCTGATACCGGTACGCAGGTACTCCCGTTCCCACACCACACCCCACAGACGTCCCGAGAAGCCATACCGTGGAGGGAATTGCTGCAGTCGACAGGGATGCACTCCCCACTGATGCAGATCCCCAGACTCTCCGGGACGGGGGCAGTGTTGAGAGAGAGAGATGGGGAGGGCTGGGCGGTGAAGAGGCAGGGGGTACCGTCTGGAAGGTCCAGAGCGAGAGAGAATAAAATGTTGTTTGGTATAGAGAGACAATGGTGGCTGCATTGGTCCAACGTTCTCCTCTGAATTTCCTCTGGAGATGGAGAGACAGAGACATGTGCTATTATCATTTCATTCCAAGCAGTGTTGAAATTATATTGACGTGAAGTAATTGGAAGTGAGACTATGTCCTAATAGGCTCCAGGTACCTACCAAGTGTGCCACTGGACTACTCATTAAATAGTGGCTGACTGTCACACTGCAAGTGGCCACACAACAATAGGCACCGTATTATCTTCCTAGAAAACATTTCTTTTCTGGAGCATGTTCTAATCCCAGTGAGTTTGACAATGGCACTCTAAATTTGGAACTTCAGAACAACTAGTTTGAAATAGAGAACCATGTTACCATCACTTAATAGAAAGACTTCCTTGGAATCACTGTACTTGGATATATGTACAGATGTAGGGTTGCTACATTAGTAGCTAACATTCTCTACTGCCATATTTGTGGATGCATTTGACCAACAATAGATTGCACAACTCTGTTGCACGAGATACGAAGCATGCAACTTCAATGAAAATGTGTTCATGGAACATGTTCCACTGAACTATCATAATTATGAAGTTGCATGAGTACACAAAACGGAATAAGAGAGAGAGAGCTAACCAAGGCTGGGGGCCTTCCACTGGGTGTATGTGGAGTGCGGAGGCTCAGAGTCACACAGCTCCTGTCTGATGTCACTGTGGGCGGGGCAGGGGGTGGAGTTACAGGTCTGATGACGATGGCTGGCTCCAAGACAGTACCGTCCACCATTAGCCGGACTGGAGACATAACCAAATATTAACACATGAACTAGTAATCTTCGCAGTCAACGACAAATCTAAAGTTGAAAACTAGTAATCTTACAAGAGAATTAGGAAACTCTAGTTATGTTAGTGAAATTTAAGCTGAATGCTTGCAAGAGAGCTAGTAATCTAAGCAGTAATCTCTAGTAATCTCACAGAGGAGAGTCGCAGACTCGAGAGCTGCCCTGGATGCCGGTCCCGCAGGAGAGAGAGCAAGGCTCCCACTCCCCCCACTCCCCCCACCCCCCATCCACCGGCTGTGCCAGCGAGGCTAGCTCCACGCAGGCCCCCTGGTAGCACACGCCCTCTCTCCCACTGCTGCTGAGGACACAGCTGGTCCCCGAGGCCGGAGGGATGTGGTGGTGAACGCAATCTGATTGGTCGTCCTCCCGACACCACAGACGACTGCAGTACTCCTGCCAAAAATGAGGAATTTCAAGTTTAGATGGAGAGTGGGATATACAAATCCTTTCGGAAAAGGGGAGTGGCTCACAGAGGAAGTGTTAAGTCCACAATGAGAGGCGGAGTCACCCAGCATCAGCTGACATTGCTCAGTGGGTGTGGTCTCCAGCCCGGGAAGAGGGACTCCGCCCGATGATGAAAGGGGCGACGAGGAATTTGAGGAATTTCCTCCTGTCATCACTGGCGGGTTGCTCAAACAAGAACTCTCTGGGGACCTATTAGGTAATGATGATGTAATCCCATATGACATCACGATGAGGTAATGTCTCACAGGAGGAACTCGGCCAGTTGTTGCCGGCTGCAGTGAGACCAGATGTGAGGGTTGCGAGACTGGGCAAAGGTTGGAGCCATGATGAACCGATTGTCTGGTTCACAGACCACCGACATGTCACCATCATGACGGATACCAAGACTGCAGGGAAAAGGAAAAGAGGTGCAGTAGGTTTTGGTGTCCAAGCCATCCTTCATTCAGTGGCTAACTACAAGTGTCCTTATATAGAGAGAGGTGTCCTGTATTGAGAGTGTCCATTCTCGGAGGTCTCACTGTGCATACCTGTGTCCCAGTTCATGGGCAATGGTGAAGGCAGTGGCCAGCCCAATATCTTCACTGATACTGCAGCCCTTCTCAGAGGAGCAGGCACCTTTGAACTCTGCAATACCTGCGAGAAAGAGAGAGAATCAACACACATCATAGATTTGCTTAGATGAGATAAACTCTGTTAGCTGCAGACTATTAGCTGCAAACAGTGTCAGCTAAACTGGAACTGTTAATTGTCAGGTGACCACAAAACTGCCAATCAGACTGGAAAAGTCTAGACATACATTTACCTAGTGGAGAGTGTTTTGTCTATGCATCCACTTACTCAATCTCCAGTAATAATTTTCCCACCATTTTGACAGCTACCCACAGCCTATTTCCTTCAGTTCTCCTTACCAAGTGTGCCGCAAGCAACTCCGAATCCCTCGCAGATGTTGGCTCTGGTGACTAGTATTGACACGTCAGGCTGGCCGGGAGAGCTGGAGGAGGGGGAGGGAAGGTGGGAGGATTGCCAGCTACAGAAACTAGCCAACGAGGTGAGAGCATCAGTCGATATTGAGAGATCACTCTGCAGTGTGTGTGTGTGTGTCAGAGAGAGAGAGAAGAGTACTTGATAAGGTTCTTAACTATAAGAAAACCTCTAAAATGAAACCAACAACAAAATTGTACAGTGAAGAATCCTGAAGCTATAAATGTAATCGTGAGGGTCTAACTATTAGTAGAGCGACAGACAATGCGAACGAGCCAGCAGTCTGATCATGTTTTCGTAATTGAGTATGGAATGCGATATCAGAGGGAACTTCAATCAGGTTTTATCGCCATCCAACTGCACCAGACTCCAAATAACACACGCCATACACTTCGTGTCGGGAGATTGTACCATTGGTCCATAGTCCATACCTGTTGGCTCTCCAGAATGACTGTTCTGACTACAACGATGTTCATAGCATGGCCGATGGTGGGGTCTCTGTATAGATGAGCCACCTGTGGGGGGGGAATGGGGTGGAGGGGGAGGGTGAGGAAGGAAGAGGGGAGAGGTGAGATGGGGTGGGAGGAAATGAGGGAGGAAATGGTGACAACCTCACTTCCTGGTATCTCCATAGCAACTACTCCACTGTAAACACACTAATGCTGTATCAAAACAACACTCTCTCCCCCTACTCCCCCCCATCTGTATATACACTGTTAGTTAAACATTGTTATTGATGCACAAAGGGACATCGTTTGTGGCAATTTGCCACATGCACCAGTTCAAAGCCGCAGTGACTAAATTCACAAGTTTGAAGTTACAACGGCTGACCATATTCATGAGGGTAAAGAGATATGCCTCCAGCTCTCGTAGACCGTGGTATTCCAGCATTGTGTGGTCCGCTACCATGGCAACCTCCACCCAGTGCTCCGAGCTCAAGAAGGCGGAGTCTTGTGATCGCCGAACTCTGAACTCATCTTTCAGGTAATCTTCCATGTGTTGCGACGAACCCACCTTTTCTGGAGAAAAATTAAAAAACTTCGCTATGACAATACATAACTACATATGTATATAGGGCTTGTGTTTGTATTGTCTGAGGCAATTGATTCCTTACCAAAGACCAGTAACTTGATATTTCCCTCCATATGATGGTATATAGTACAGTATCATGTACTGTGGAGAGCTGATGGGGCCTTTGATTGAATCAACCTTGTTATTAAATAAGACTAATGAATGGGGTGCGCACTGCAAGCTCCCTTAAAGAGATTTTTAATTTGGCATTACTGACTGATAGGTTTGGAAATCGCCAGCGCATCACTCACGTCTTCTAAGAGCTGGCAATCAATTTGATTCAGCAAAAGGCATAGACTGACCATAAGAGCAGGTCCTTCCAGGGGGTAGGCGGGGAGAGTTATGGAGAAGATGAGGGAGAGGCCGAGCGTCACGATGTTCATTAGCCCCTCCTCTCTCCGGCTCAATGTAGAGATATCCACTAGTTTCCGAAGCTATTACTCCACGCTGGAAGACAAAGAGAGGTATGTATGGATTCCCTGTGGTATGGACAGCCTCGCTATGGAGGAGGACAGATCGAGGTACACTAATTGCATTTGTGCGTAAGTTTGTGTGTTTGCAGCATGGAGCGCTGCATGGCAGTTATCTGGGGAGGAGCCCCTACAAATTAGCTGGCAAAAGGGGGTACATTAGCAAGAGCTGGGCCAATGGAGTAATCTGCTTGTACACAGTAGCCATCATGCTGCTCTTCATAAATCCTTATATCAACACTTAGACCAAGGGCCCACTTTAGCTACTCACCAGTCCACTGCAGTAGCTGATGGCTGCCCAGCCTTGTCCATCTATCACAACTCCGTCTTCAGTCTCCTCACGTACAACACCAGTGAAATGTCGACAGTCACTCCTGGTCCCTCTCGTCACTCCGTGCTGACTGTGGTGGTACTCCACCACGTGCTCTGGAGTCAAGAAACTACCACCATTCTCCGACACGTTGAGTCTGAATGTCTTTCCAAGAGCATCGATTCTGAAATAGTGTCTCAGCTGGCCGTCTCCTTCAGGCGGCATGAGATCAAAGGAAAGGTGGTCTCCTTGTCCGTTAGTTCTAGTCGGCAGTACTGACACCCGAGTTAGCTCATCTGGCGTGGGGAAAAGAGAAACAGGCTCATATGCTGCAGAACAGTTGGCAAGAACAAAGAGCGAGTCTCAGTACGGTGTTAGCTCACCATAGAGAGGTGCAGGAGTCACAAATGTCGCTAGTAGCAGTAGCGAGAGATAGAAAACAAGGCTCGCTAGGTAGTTCATCGCTCTAGTATTGGACGGACGACAGACTACTATTGTCTTTTGTCAACTGTCTCGCACTGCTGGCAGAGAAAGGCTCCAGTCCTGGCAGAGAGAGCTCGCCACTCAGCATTTATAAATTCCGCCGAGCGCCGTCCGCGGCGGCTCTTTTACGAAAAACTGCGACTTATGCGCGTGCGCACTACAATTATTCGTTGTTAATAGAGGAGGATGTTGCGTGTAAGATACGAAGTCATGAAGCTATTTTCAGTGCATATTCCCATAGTGTTTACAAACCAGCTATAGTAGAGGATTTTGTAATTGTGGCAATGCACATAATGCTCAATAAACCACACAACAGATGTACATACAAATACAACCACTGCCTACCTCAACAAAGCAGTAACAGTAGACCAATTAATGACTAATTATCTTGGGCTGAAGCCAGGAAACCACAGCTACAAGAGGTCAGACAGTTCTCAATTGCTGGGCAACCTCTTCTCAATTACAACAATAACTTCATTTTCGGCAGAAGTATCATAATCTAGAACTCAGACTGACCGACAGGAGCGCTGATGTACTAGCTCAAAAACCCAATGCTATCGGTCTCCAAGATCAAAGAAAATATTGGGAACAATCCAATTAGTTGTGAAGTAAGTATCGAACAACGTCACCACATCTACATACCCCTGAAGAATATGCCGTTGCTTGCAGAGAGTACAATAAACAGAGTGTGAGGGAACACACACATTCTCAGGTTTAACGTTGTGCTCTCAGGCATAGCACACCAGACTGGAGGGAGAATTATTGCTGGAAGCAGGAATGCGAACAGGCGAGGAAGATCTGGAGTCAACAGGACGCAGGGAAGGGCTAGACATATGGCAGCGGTGAAGAATGAGGAAGTTCTTGCCGTGAGAACCGAATGGGAACAATCGACACAATTACACAACTCTAAGCCAATTAAGGTCGAAAATGAACTGAGATCTAAGTTATGATGGAATTAGTTCGGAATTCCATCTCAAGAATGTGCTATAAGCAATGAAAACATTTGTTAAAGAGACACCTGTGGCATGCTGATGTGATTAGACCAACAGCTGCCAAGTAAATAGCAGTCCTTTACTGCAACACAATATCACACACAGAGAGAGAGGAAACACATGCTGTGTGTGTGTGGCTGGGGATGAGTCATGGCTCAACCAGTCAATGTTCTGTTGGTACTAAGGAACCACCATTGTACCTCACTCTACACCACAGCATGAGGTCTCCAAAACCAACCATCGGTTTATGTGGTCTGTGGTGGTCACCAGTTCTGGAGCCTTACTTGAAGCTCGCTAAAGAGCAGGTCTCATTGTTTATAGACTTAACGGGTTTCTATTTGTTGGGAAAACTGGGCCATTCACACAGTCGGCCAGTTGGTCCCAGTGTCCTCAATGAACCTGAATTGGGATGTGTTGACAACTGACTAAAAGGATGCAGTTCATATGGCAAGTGGTAGCCAACACAGAATCCAGGCACCCAAAATCCCCACGACTCCTCTGTTTACAACCACCTCATTCAGAGACAGCCCTGCAGTCATTTACCCTCTGGCTCTCTTTTCTCGCGACATCCCTGCCTATTATGGGGGACAGGAGAATGTGTCTACTGAGACAAGGATCCAGTGTTTGTTTGTTTCTCTAGATTGAGGTAAGAAGCAGTGAGTAGAGATGCAGAGAGAGGGGGCAGACTGCTAGTATATACACAACCCTCAGGATGGAAACCCACACGATAATGAGAATTGCCTAATATGGTCACAAATGAAACACTGAAAAAACACTTCACAGCCAACTACATCATGTGACATCATGTGACATCACCCAATTACGAATCAATCAACGCATTTGTTTACTCGATGACACTTAAAAATTAACCAGACCTATAATGGACACATCCTCAAACAGAATCCATTTTTACGCAAGTGCCACTCTCTGCATGTAAAAGAAATGCACTTTACCACCATACGTTGTTTACTCTCCCACAATCCAACTATGCTTTGCCAAAGAGAACTGCTTCTTGAAAGAGTATACGGTAAAACGATGCCCTGCAGAGTGCGGAAAGGTCAGCAGTGTATCCCCAAGTAAGTAAGTCTTCAATAAGAGACAATAGTTGTCTGTGGTGGTGACACAAGAGAGCCTGTTACACGTGGAGGCAGTTCAGGCGATAGTCTGTAAAGCCTCGTCCAGAGAAGGATCAGCTTACGAGTGCAGAGGCAGTGGTACAGGAGATTGCTAGCAGACTGCAAAACCACAGTGACCTAATAGGCCACCTGATAGGTAGTCCAGAGGACCCGATACGGTGTAATTGCTGCAGATCAACTGAAGATCGAGTTTCGATGCTCACCAGCAAAGGAGTGTGATTTGGGTTTACGCCATCTGCATTAGTGAAACACGCCTCACCACAAAGCTATGTTTAGACATTAAAGGAGCATGCAGGCTCTATAGAGGGGCATTGGGAGGCACAGCTTAGCAGTTAGTCGTTGCCTATAAAAGGCCCGAGTTCAATACTCATTGTAACAGGCATTGTAGATAGCGCCATATTACCGCATAAATGGGCCCTCCTTTTTTAGAATACCTGCAAGACTGTGTAGATAACAAATATCAGCAATAGGACTAGAGTGTGTGGTATACAATAACAGCAGAGACATGGCTACACTGGTTTGCCAAGTCACTCAAGAGCCTTTATGAGATTCTCATAGAGTTCTATGCCAATGTCGGCCTCAGCTCGCTCTGCATCAGATGAGGCCGAGCTCCGCTGCTGCTTGCACTTGTCAAGGCCCTGTCTCGCCGCCTGAGGGGAACAGTGGGTGGGGCTTATGCAAATCACGTGATAGTCATGTGACTGAGGGTGTACCTGGGCATCAAACATGTCAAGAGGGTATGCCTCTTCAGCTAGGATTTGGACTGTACCATCAGCATTGACAGTCACAGTTCCACTGCTTGCTGTGGAGTGGGCACACACTATACAGTAGAGAGAGGAGGTGGAAGGGAGGGAGAGAGCTAACCAAAATATTTCTGGGTCTTGTCAGTTTCATATACAGTCACTAGCCCAGGTTGAAGAACTGCAATGGACGGCACGTGATGCGGGAGAATGCCAAACGTTCCTGTCGTGGAGCTGACGTCCACCTGCTTCACGTTCACGTTGTCGTAGAACGTCTGGGGAAAGAACCTCCAATTAGAGCGCACCAACACGGTTGGCGGTTAGTGCTGAGCGTACCGAGTTGGGCGAGGAGAAGGTGAGAGGAATAGCGATCTCTCCATTGGTGTAGTTCCTCAGAGCCAGCAATCGTCCACTGCGGACGCTGCCACGAGCCAAACTCAGCAGTCTTGAAGCCATTGTGTTGATTGATGCTGGACAAACTGCGCATGCGCATTATGGGAAAATATCGGTGGGTGGAGCTAAGGTTTGTTTCGCTTTTTGGCGGTTTTGTTGAAGAAGAGAGAGCCGCGCGACAACCAGGTGCAAGGCTAGTGGATAGTTTACACGACTCATCAGCTAGCTGCTAGGTTTAGTTAAACGGTGGGCGATATTTGGAGAAAACAGCTGGCTCGCCCGGACCTCAACAGATCGTAGTGACACCTGAGATTGGGTCAAGATGCCAGGCAGGGTCGGGAATGCGGACCTCTACATTGGGTGAGTACCTCCACCTCGCTTCCTGTTCGTAATAGAGAGGTCATTGTTTTTCTAGGATGGTGAGAAAGAGAAAGTCGCTGCCTCGAGACAGCAAAGGGTTTGAGCCGATAGAAGCCTATCTGAGAGAGGTTGAGGAGGATTTGAACAAGAACAGCAGTGGTGAGAGAGTCTGTGTGTGTGAGAGTAGCTGTGATAGTTGTTTCCCTGGCAGAGGGGGAGAGTGGGGAGGAGACAGATATGGAAGAGGAGAAGAGGAAGGAAGAGGAGGCGAGGGAGTTGAAGATACGGGAAAGGGAGAGAAGGGTGAGGGAGAGGAAGGAGAGGGAGAGGCAAGCTAGAGAAGAGAGGGAGAGAAAGGCCGAGGAGGAGAGGGAGAGGAAGGAGAGAGAAAGAAAAGCAGAAGAGGACATGGAGAGGAAAGAAGAAGAGAGAGGGACTGGACAAAGGACAGGAGCCACTACAGATGAGGTGCAAGAGGAGAGCGAGTCAGACAGAGAGGAGAAGAGAGCAGGAGAAGCCAAGAAACTGAAGAAGACGGGAAGAAAAGGCAATCGGAGATCGCTGAGACAGAGAGGGCTATCTGTCAGCGACACCGTAAGTCACTATAAACTGTTCACAACTCCACTGCTAACGTGTTTCTTCAGGAGGAGAGCAGTGCCACTGACAGTGAGGAGAGTAACATGTGTGGACCGGTGACGAGTCGAGCCGAGGTTGAGTCTAAACTGTTACCAGCTGAAAGTGGGGCAGACGGAGAAGGTGAAGGGGGAGGAGGAGGTGGGGAAATGGAGAAGAGCTCAACGACACTGAAAGAAGGTACTGAGTCAACCGTGTCATCGGAATCGGCAGCTGAACAGGAAGGAGACAGGGAGAAAGAGGGAGAGGGAGGAGAGACTCGTGTTGGTAGTGGGGGTGAAGAGGCAAGTGGAGATGGAAGAGTGGCCGGTCCGACTATCTTCTCGCCAGAAGACACTCCCACTTCTCCCACCAGAGACACCATGAAACTTGGCCCAGTCAGGTGAACCACATTGCACGCTACTGTACCGTAACCTGAATAATTATGATAGCTCACAGTTTGTATAGCTTGACAAATTTGGACTGGACAAAATTTTGACAACTACTCAGTTTTGCATGAAGCAGCTGCGTTGGCAGAGTTCATTTCATTGCTGTCTTCCCTCCACGACTGATAGGTTGACATTCAGTGTTAGTCCCAGTGATGATGAACGACAGACAGGAAGAAGTGGCGACAAAGTTCTAACTGCTCAGAAACAGATTACATCACAACGAACTCTGACCTTACCCACTAACGAACCAGTTAACCCCGACCCTCCTGAATTTTCAGAGAGAGAGTCTGGGACCGATGAAGCGAGGACGGAGGCGAGTGGTCGATTTCTGCTCTCCCAAAACACCACCAACATGTCGTTTAACCCCAAGAAGACCAGCACACAGGTCCGCTGGGGGTGCCAAACAAGGGGTGTGGTCAAGGAGAGGGCATCAGCAGCAGCTCGGCGAAGGAGACGTACCTTGGCTCGCGACCCCGACAGCGAAGAAGAAGAAGCAGAGGAGGAAGAGGAGGACCCTGAACTGATGACACTGCTGGAACCAAGTGCCCGGGTGTCTCGACTGGTGGGGCTGAGTCAGTTGGGGAGACACTCGAGCAAGAAGACCACCGGAGCAAGAGAAAGCAGCCGTGGGAGTGAGAGAGACACGACAGACGATGAAGCAACAACAGCTATAGTCAGAGGAGATTCTCGAGGGACGACTGTCTCGGAGCCAAAGAGGAAATCAGCCATCAGACCTCCCACTACTAGAACAAAGACCTCTGCTGCGACATCGTTGTTGAAGAAAGACGGCCAAATCCTCGCGTAAGTCGGTGGCATTTAACCCCCACACCACTAACCTGGGATCGCCCGAGGAGTTACCTCCCGTGGCAGGTAGGCGGGGCAGATCTCCCGAGTCTGACGGCAGTGGGGGCGGGACAAATACTGCCGCACGGGCGAGCAAAAAAAACAAATAACAGAAAAATTAAGGAAACAACAACAAAAAAACCCACCCCTCATACCCCGCCCAACCGCTCCCCCCCACACCCGCCGCCACCGCACCCCACCCCAACCGCCCCCCTCCCCCGCACGCGCCACACGGCTCAGCCCCCCGGTCCCCATCGAATTCACAATCCCGGCCCCACTTGCAGTCCGAAAAAAACACCAGCACACCACCACAGACCACACGGTTAGCATCACCCATCGCCGCCGTCGATACCAGGTTCGCGATCGCCTTCCGCCGCCCCCTGCCCCCGTCCGGCACCTGGGCCACCCGCCGGCCCCATCCCCTCTCTCATCCCCCAACCACCTCTGCGCCCTTACCGCTGACCTAAGCCACACCCAATGAAAAACGCCGGTCCACTACTATGGGCAGAGAAAGCAACTGCCCCCCTAAGCTCAGGCGCCAGGTCAGGTCCCCCTCCAGCAGGAGCCCCCACCCCGGCAGGCGCATAGAGGGATCCCCCACAAGCAAGTAATAAGCGTCCTAACTTAGGAGAAAACAGAGGCCAGGTGGGGAGGCCATGCGGAGCGGTCACCCTCACAAGCCCCCCTTTGTTTTTTTAACACCTTGGCTCCTTCCGATTTTCCCACTCAGTCGGGTTTTTCTGTACTAACATAACACAGGTTTACGACTCCTTTTTCTCTGGTGCTGTTAGGCACAACAAACCCTTGTTAGTTCCAAACACTGTTCTCTCATTTGTGGGTGGCCCCTTATACCGTTCTAAAAAGGTGATACAAGACACCTTAGAAGAATTGTGGGTGAGCGGTTTTGTTAATGATTATTTACTGGTGGGGTAAGAGGCTTTTGTGGGATCAAGAGTTGTGATCTTGAGGCTAATGGTTTGGGTGTTTCTCGCGCACGTCGTGATTCAGACAATCGTAGTCAACTTGTAGCCAACCTTTGTGATATGATTATATTGGTTCAAGCATTTTCAATTTTGGATTTCGTCTGACACTATTCCACTATCTACTGTGAGGGCTCCTCAGCTGGCACAGGATTCCCCTCTTTTCTCTTGATCCAGTTTGCTGAGCAGGTACATTCTAACTCGCAGGCATTGAATGCCCTTTCCTCTGTAATTGAGGGCCTCGAAAAGAAGCTTTCCACTTTCTTAGTTTCTTGTGCCTCTCCAGCTGCTGCCTGTGGTGCTCAGCCAGCTGTCAGTTATGCCACCGTTGCCTCTTCTGCTCCTTCTCCTGTTGCTACACATTACTCTTCAGTGGTCTCACGTAAACGTTTTACTCCCCAGAGGTCTTCCTCTGCTGACGAGCCTGCGAGTAATATTATCTTCTTTGGGTTGCCTGAGGGGAAATCCCTTGTAGAGTCCAAGAAGGTTGTTGATGAAATATTAGAGTTTGTTTCTGGCAAATCAGTTCAAATTAAAGATATGTTTCGATTAGGAAAATATGTACGGTCGACCTCCTCCCTGTCTCGTCCACGTCTGATTCTAATTAAGTTGTGCACTGCTTGGGATCGTAAGCTTGTTTTACTTCGGAAGACTGCATTAGTCTTCTTGCGTGAGGATGTGCCTCCTGATCACAAATTGCGTGCAAGGAAGCCCATTGCATCTCCTGAGACAACTCCTCCTGGTGACCCCTCTGTGGACGCTCGTGTTAGTTCTGTTTGCAGCTCATCCACAAGCTGTGCTGTTTCAGCTGGTCCAATTCAAGCACTTGCTTACACTCTTGCGAGCAGTGGCCAGCGCAGTAGGTGTTCTGTCTCACCAGCCGTGTTTGAAGCTTCCTCGCAGTGCCCTGTGCCAATTTGTGCTGTATCTCAAACTCCCTCACATCCTTATTCTTCATCCTTTTCTGTTGCTCAGTGTAGCTTCATTAGCAATGATGGCTCAGCTTAGATGTTGCTCTTTCAATTGCAGAGGTTGGAATAGTGGTGTACATACTCTTAATAACTTTATCAATTCGCTTGATGTTTGTTTTGTTGAAGAGCATTGGCTATTTAAATGATCAGTTACATAAAATTCATGAAATTAGTCCAGATTTCCTCTCAGTTGGTGTGAGTGGCATGGATAATTCTGAGCTTCTTCTTGGTAGACCATTCGGTGGTTGCGCTATTCTGTACCGGAAGTGCTTAGCTTCGTGCATTTCTTCTTTAGAAACTTGTTCTAATCGTTTTTGTGCTGTCAAATTTTGTGATTCTACTTACCTCTTCCCTACTGGTTTTTTTTTTTTTAAAATTTTTACCCTTTGGTTGATCAATTAAAATCTACATGCCTGCCCTGACTCTGGGTCCG